GCATGGGGTATTACTTATATTAATTAATATATACTTAATAGCTCAGTTATTTTGCATTGAGTACTGTTTTACTTATACCAAAGGAGATATATATTTGTATGTGAGCACTTGCATGTACATTTATTTATATTTATATATTTGCTATACACGCACACACAATATACAGGGTGGAATGGGTAAATTGTCGCCATTTTATAATTTTAATTTCACGCATACACGTTGTTTTAGATTTTGTCTACAGCACAGTATAGTAGGCTCTGTTTGGGACTATGAGAAAAAGAGCACCATTATGTAAATTCATTCAATCAGAAATTTAGAAGCAGTATGTTTTATAAATTAAGCAAAAGCATTTCCTAAAGCTACGTCATATAGAACTGTTGGAAATGTTAGGTAAGCTTGGGAAGGATATTAGAATAATCCAGAACTTATACTGGGAGCAAACTGCCTGCATGACGACAGAAAATGATTTCAATAAATACACAAAATTAGAAAGGGGTATAAGACAAGGACGTGTCTTCTCACTGAACTTTTTCAACATTTACAGTGAAGCAATCCTGAGAGAATGAGAAGTGCTACCATGATTCATTATTAGTGGCCACAACCATAACAATATTAGATATGCAGATGACACAGTGTTGATAGCAGACAGAGAAAGGAAACTACAGAAACTCCTACAGAAGGTAACAAAGGAAAATGAGAAGAAAGGACTAAACATCAACTGTAAGAAGATGGAATGTATTGTTGTCAACAAAAAAAATAGCCCAATATATGAATTGGAGATACCAAAATTAAACAAGGGCAAAAAATTTAAATATTTAGGCAGTGTTTTAATACAAAAGATAACAGATGGAGTAAAAGGTTGCTTGATTGGTACCTAATGGATAGCAAATTTAGTAGGAAAGGATCAAAGAGGGGATGGAGAGATGAAATAGAGCTTGCTAGTAGGACATGACAGAGAGTAGCAGTCGTGATTGGTATGGAAGGATTTGGGAAAAACTTTTGTGGACCTGCAATGGCTACTGCTGATGATCAGTATAGGGCTTTATGAAGATTAGTTTTGGTCTATGGTGACAAATAGAAGGTACCCAATGAAGATTGAATTCACTACTCAATAGCAAAAATATGAAAGACAAGTTCACTATTATCCTACAGTGAAGAACTGTAATGATAGTAATATTGGCTGAGTAGAAGGATTAAAGCCATAATTTACAGCTAATTGACTCCTGTCAAGGTTGACTATAGGGGCAACAGCTACTGTCCAATTAGGAATAATAAGTTTGCTAACATTTCTATGTTAACAATTTAGTGAAAAGGTCATTCAACCAACAGAAACCAACTATGGACTTATTGAGATACAAAAATTAAAATTGCATGTTCCTCAAAACAAATATAAATGCATTTTGGAACTCTTATTTAAAATGACAGAGTACTGGTTTAAGATGTGCGTTTAATTTTAAGATTAAAATTAATTTCCTTTAGTCCCCTTTGATGAGTCCACTGTTTTATTTTGTAATAAGATGTGTGTGTGTATGTATGTGTGTGTACATATATATATATATATATATATATATATATATATATATATATTTGTTTCAATGTCTAATTTAGACATCTCATCAGGTGGTTAACATTGATAGTAATCATTACCACCGATATTAACCAGCTTGAGATTTCTAAATTACACATCAAAACGAATATGCATTTTTTGTCATGGTAACTTACATGTTCCAATGTGACAGTTTATAATAAATAACTATTGCTCTACTATTGTATTGAGCTCTTTTTTAAATTAATGTTATGAACGTTTGAAATTATATACATTTCGTCTTTTACATTTGGAGATATATATATATATATATATATATATAGGAAGAGAGAGAGGAGGAAAGATGCATGATAAAGTGGAAAAATTTTTCATGTGACTCATTTCATCGTATATATATATAAAATGTTTAATGTGTTTTGAGTATATAATATATATATAAGTTGACATTGAGGTCAACACCCAGTGGCGACAGCCTGTTTCATGCTTAAATGCAATCTTCGGGCCATGTGTGTTGTGTTTGGATCAGCTATTTATATATGCTGGTCAGTGGTGCATTATATGGCGAAGATCTATTGTATTATACTAAGACTCATGTGGTTGGCTGTAGTGGTTATGTTTCTTCAGTTCAGAAAGCCATAGATTATACTAACATTGCTTAACAAGTCAGATGGACATGAAGCCTGCTTAACCAATGAAAATCAAACAACACAAACATAAAAATACCAGAATTTCTTTTTTTTCCTCCATATCTCATTTTCTAATGAAGCTTTAATAAGAGCTCCAAAATGCATTTACATCTGTTTTGAAGGACATGCAAATTTATATTAAATTTTTTTTTTTTTTTTTTTAATCTTTAGAACTTGAATATGGTCTAGAGAATTGGATGTAGCTGCAAACTGTGCCAGTGGGTATTATAATTCAACACAAATCTGATACAGTTTGTTATGACATGTAGTTCTCGCTTGACTTTTTTTTCTTTCCTTTTCTTTATTTATTATCCCTGGGGTTTACAGTGACATTTTGTGATTTTTCGCCATTGCTGATAAATAAATAAATAATAAAACGGAGTATGTGTGGAGTTTTTTTTTTCTTTTTGTAAAAAAAGCTTCTCAAATAGTTATAATGCTCTGGGAAGCTTTTAAGAAAAGCGCTTTAGGTACAACACTAGTATACGAGTCGTATTCGGGTTTTAAACGTAAAGAAAATTACTTGAAGACCAACCACGATTTGGCTGCCCTTCAACAAGCTGAAATGACAATGTTTTTCTAAAATCTTTCGCCGTGTGAAATTCGTCATTTGACCTTTGAGGGGGTATCCAAGACGGCTAGTTAGTCTGGGATTTAATGTTAACAAAATATTTTCAAATTTCCGCAGAATTCATGCCTCGCAAATTTTTTTTTTTATTTTAAAAAAAAAAAAAAAAAAAAAAAAAACTATCGAGTGTCAATTTTGAAATTTTATTAAATTTTATAAATTTTTTTATTCCATAAAATAGAAAAAATAAAAGTCTGTCTGTGTTTTTCGTTAACAAAAAAATCCGATTCCAAATGTCTCCATTATTAGAACAAAAATAAAATGTCCGGCTAACCGGCTGGAGAGCGCTTCAGGTTGGAGTTTCTGATCATACGCATTTTTCTTTTTTATGTGCCGTGTCCCTTCAGGACGTACGTGTTCAAGGATCTCTACAACTTCTTGTTCTTTGTAACCCTTCGTAAAGTTTGTCTTTTTGCTATATCTCCTAAACCCTGTTCTGCCAACCATTTATACATGAGTTTTTAAAAGCACCTGTTAGCTGTTGTAATTAGACTGCTGGATGCTGCTACTACGTATATTCCCTACAGCCAATTTTTTTTGTTTAGATTGTTATATGTTCAACTTTTCTATAGAATTCAGTTACGGGGACTCACGGTTAATCTAAACGGGCTTTCTCATAAATAAGGATCTTGGATTCCGTACTCTACAATTAGAAGACATGCATTCGGTGATGTTTATTATTAAAACGATTAATTAACGTTCAGATTATAAGATTATAACAAATGTTGCTGTTGTTAATTTTTTAAGTTTAACTTACTTTTTTTTCTTAATTCCACGTGCTTCTCTGGGGGGGGCATATATCGACCAATGTAAATTATTATTTTTTTTTTTAAAGAAAACATGTCGGTAACAAGTCACTATTCAAACAAAATATAGAGCTCAGTCTACCCTGAGATTTGACCCCCTAGTTGGCGAAAGAGAAGAAACAGATGCATGTCTTTCCCAAGAGCGTTAATACTGAGTGAACACAACAAATCAGACCGGATCTTGAAATCAGGACGTCGAATACACTTTCTGCGTCGGTAACCGTTACACTGCCTGCAAGCTCTTTTCTTTTGCCCTGATTCCATAAAACCCTGTAGAGTAAGATTCAGATTTATTTATTAAGAATAAATTGTAGCTTTCTTTTAAATTGTATGTTATGATATCTTTTATTGAATCTATTTTTACGTATCTCTGGAATAACATTTTTTTACACTGTGTCCATCGATAAGTACACGATATTTCCAAAGCTCTTTATTAAGGAATCTTGAAAAATTATCTCAGAAAAGGGATCGAGTAAAAACTTTCTAGCACACTGTATTTTCTTGAGTATAATACGACCATGTCTTTCTGAAACTAAAAACGGGGAATGAATTACATTTCTTTTTTAATCTTTTTACCCCAAGTAAGACAATAAAGACACAAGGGGTTACTGGGTGTGAGAGAATATGAGAAAGAAAAAGAAAAACACCATTAAGGAGAGAGAACAATAAAAGAATAGGAATTAAGACAAAAGTTAACGATTGACAGGCATTTAAATATATATCCGTAAGCACAATACGACCCCTTAGTACAGTCATCCCTATGTAATTTTTTTTGAAAAGTTGTACCATGTTATCCATTAAAATCTCAATGTCGTACATATATTTCAATAAAATATTTAATTTTTAACGATATTAAGGAATACAAATAGTGTTTCTTCTCCTAATTTCCGTATCAAAACTTATTTTCGGGTAGAGATACTAATTAGATATACCCGGTAATTCATTTTAAGATATTCAATAATCTATCATATTTTTTCTATTTGATTTGACTTTATTATATTTCTATATGTTAATAAACTATGGAAATAAAAAAAATATTGTCTTTCAATAAGAATGAAGATAGAAAACTTTATAACAAAACCCAAGTAAATCAAAATATAAACACATTTTATCTTGTGAGCAAAACTGATTCTATTTGCAATGTTGCTGTTTCAAATAGATTTTTAAGTTGAGTAAAATGTCTGAAAACGTGTACTTATATATAATACGACAGCCGTTTTTGTTTTGTTTTGTTTTTTTGCCTTTCATTTTCGTTCAAAATTTCTCGTATTCTGCACCAGAAAATACAGTACAAACGCTCAGTGTATTCAAATCACGACGCAGTTTTTATGTCTTTAATTGGCCACGTCATTCCAGTAGTTCCTGAGGTAGTCGGTGTAGCGGTCGTAGTTTTTACGGAACAGCTGCGCCGTCTCACGCACTCTCTTTGAATATTCATTATAATAATTGAGGTACGTCTCGTAAGTGCGCCTGTAGACATCCCTTCCTTTCGCTTTGATGTTGTTGATATAGCGTGAGAAAGTTTCGTGCGCCTTCTGGTAGGCCCGCCTGACCAGCTGCTGTGTCCGTTCATACGCTTTCTGCGCATTCGTCCACGCATCATTCCATACTCTACGTATCACCGTCCGACTGGTGGCTGCCGGTTCGGTAAGCTTTTCCGAAATTTTCCGTACGTTCTCCCAAACGCCTGACAACCGCCTGAGCGTCTTGTGCAAGAGGATTTTAGTTTTTCTGTATACTTTTGTGGCTACTGTTTTGCCGTATTCGATAGCTTTCTGTGCTGTTGTTATTACTCTAACAACCACTGTTGGTTTGCCTGGGTATATGGTCTTCTTCTCGATGTGGGTCTCATTTTGAACTTTAATCCTTAATATTAAACTGTGGCGTGGTGCAGGGGTTGTCGGAGTTTTTGATGACCGACAGACGACCATTTTCAACATTTCTTGATTCTTATCCTTGGGGGAAATTCGTGCAGCTGTACCGCCGATTCGTTTCGGTTTAATCACAATAACGACGCATGTGGAATTGAACACAGATAAATATTTTGGGACTTTGGTACGCTGGTGACTCAAAAAGACTGTTAACGTTTCTCGAACCCAGTTGATGACGGCGTCTTTTACTAGAAGTATGAAACTATCATCTGGTACCATTGACGAGAGGACTTGACTCACCCACTTGATGGATGTTTGCAGATTCAGGGCAACTGGTTTCACTGCTTCAACGTCAGGAAAGACGAAATCCGTTTCACGTTTTAAAGACCAGCATATTTTCTTGGTTGTGTTTGGGTTACTGAACTCTTCTCTAAGATGACTGTTCCCTTGTGTTTCCAGTGTGTCCGCCAAGTTAATTTGCTTGGGTATTTTGTAAGTGGGTCGTATTCGGACTAAAATGCATATTTCTGGGTTACTTGAACGTATGGTGGTTGTTCTAATAGTTGACGTCGTCGTTGTTCGTAATTTTCTGGTCTTTAATGTGGTCAGGACTGATGTTTTCTTTGTTGTTGTTTGCTGTACTGGGATTTTGGGAGATGTTATGATCAATGGTAATGTTGTTTTTGGTTGTTTGTCTCTCTGATCGTCACTTGGGATTTTATTCGTGAATCTCGTACTGCTCTGTGTCTCGTGAGTTAAGTCAAAGTCTTTTTTGCCTATATGCGTTGCACTCGTGAAAGCACTCTGACTGACCTTAGGTGAACTCGGTGACGTCATGTTAAAGCTCGTTCCGGATACTGGTACTTTTGTGAAACCTTTGCTTTTTGCTGTATAGTAAGCTGTTACATTATCATTTAGTTCCGTTGTTTGGCCATTATACTCCACCCTGTCTGTCCCCAATCGTTTTAATGTGCTTATATTCTCTGTCACTGACAGTACATCGTCCCTATGTGAAGTCGATATCGGAAATGTTACGCTTTCACCAGAATAGAAATCATCTGTGGTAAGAGAAACATTAGGCTTAATAACAGAAACATCCGAAGATATTTCGTTCATTGTCGCTTTTGTCTGTGATGACTGTCCCGAAAGCAAGACCTCCATTCTGTTCGTAAAATCCTCATCCAATTCTCCTGCAAATTCAGTTGGCAGGGATATCGTAGGTGCTGTTGTAGAAGCACTAATTTGCGATAAATGTTGATCATCGAATGTCAGCAGACTCGAATCGTTAGACAAGATTTCTTCTTTCATTGCTGGCAAAATAGTAGATTCATTTACGAGGAAGCTATCTGAGGTTATTTCTGCAGCATCCTCTACGAGAGGTGTATCACGAGTTAGCAATATAGGCTGGCTCGTTGAAAAGAGAACTTTTGTCTCTGGTAAAAATGTAGATTCATTTGTGAGGGTGCTATCCAGTGTCGCATTTAAGACATCCTCTACGAGGGATGTATCACGAGTTGGCAGTCTCTGTTGGCTCGTTGAAAAGAGCACTTTTGTCTCTGGTAAAAATGTAGATTCATTTGTGAGGGTGCTATCCAGTGTCGCGTTTAAGACATCCTCTACGAGGGATGTATCACGTGATGGCAGTCTTTGTTGGCTCGTTGAAAAAAAAAAGCACTTTTGTCACTGGTAAAATGTAGATTCATTTGTGAGGGTGCTATCCAGTGTCGCATTTAAGACATCCTCTACGAGGGATGTATCACGAGATGGCAGTCTTTGTTGGCTCGTTGAAAAAAGCACTTTTGTCACTGGTAAAAATGTAGATTCATTTGTGAGGGTGCTATCCAGTGTCGCATTTAAGACATCCCCTACGAGGGATGTATCACGAGATGGCAGTCTCTGTTGGCTCGTTGAAAAGAGCACTTTTGTCTCTGGTAAAAATGTAGATTCATTTGTGAGGGTGCTATCCAGTGTCGCATTTAAGACATCCTCTATGAGGGATGTATCACGAGATGGTAGTCTTTGTTGGCTCGTTGAAAAGAGCACTTTTGTCACTGGTAAAAATGTAGATTCATTTGTGAGGGTGCTATCCAGTGTCGCATTTAATACATTCTCTACGAGGGATGTATCACGAGATGGCAGTCTTTGTTGGCTCGTTGAAAAGAGAACTTTTGTCTCTGGTAAAAATGTAGATTCATTTGTGAGGGTGCTATCCAGTGTCGCATTTAATACATTCTCTACGAGGGATGTATCACGAGATGGCAGTCTTTGTTGGCTTGTTGAAAAGAGCACTTTTGTCACTGGTAAAAATGTAGATTCATTTGTGAGGGTGCTATCCATTGTCGCGTTTAAGACATCCTCTACGAGGGATGTATCACGAGATGGCAGTCTTTGTTGGCTTGTTGAAAAGAGCACTTTTGTCACTGGTAAAAATGTAGATTCATTTGTGAGGGTGCTATCCAGTGTCGCGTTTAAGACATCCTCTACGAGGGATGTATCACGAGATGGCAGTCTTTGTTGGCTCGTTGAAAAAGAGCACTTTTTGTCTCTGGTAAAAATGTAGATTCATTTGTGAGGGTGCTATCCAGTGTCGCGTTTAAGACATCCTCTACGAGGATGTATCACGAGATGGCAGTCTTTGTTGGCTCGTTGAAAAGAGCACTTTTGTCTCTGGTAAAATGTAGATTCATTTGTGAGGGTGCTATCCAGTGTCGCGTTTAAGACATCCTCTACGAGGGATGTATCACGAGATGGCAGTCTTTGTTGGCTCGTTGAAAAGAGCACTTTTGTCTCTGGTAAAAAAAATGTAGATTCATTTGTGAGGGTGCTATCAGTGTCGCATTTAAGACATCCTCTACGAGGATGTATCATGAGATGGCAGTCTTTGTTGGCTCGTTGAAAAAAGCAGATTCATTTTGTCACTGGTAAAAATGTAGATTCATTTGTGAGGGTGCTATCCAGTGTCGCATTTAAGACATCCTCTACGAGGGATGTATCACGAGATGGCAGTCTTTGTTGGCTTGTTGAAAAGAGCAATTTTGTCTCTGGTAAAAATGTAGATTCATTTGTGAGGGTGCTATCCAGTGTCGCATTTAAGACATCTACGAGGGATGTATGAGGGATGTATCACGAGATGGTAAAATGTAGATTCATTTTGAGGGTGTTGGCTCGTTGAAAAGAGCACTTTTGTCTCTGGTAAAAATGTAGATTCATTTGTGAGGGTGCTATCCAGTGTCGCATTTAAGACATTCTCTACGAGGGATGTATCACGAGATGGCAGTCTTTGTTGGCTCGTTGAAAAGAGCACTTTTGTCTCTGGTAAAAATGTAGATTCATTTGTGAGGGTGCTATCCAGTGTCGCATTTAAGACATCCTCTACGAGGATGTATCATGAGATGGCAGTCTTTGTTGGCTCGTTGAAAAAAGCACTTTTGTCTCTGGTAAAATGTAGATTCATTTGTGAGGGTGCTATCAGTGTCGCATTTAAGACATCCCTACGAGGGATGTATCACGAGATGGCAGTCTTTGTTGGCTCGTTGAAAAGAGCACTTTTGTCACTGGTAAAATGTAGATTCATTTGTGAGGGTGCTATCCATTGTCGCATTTAAGACATCCTCTACGAGGGATGTATCACGAGATGGCAGTCTTTGTTGGCTCGTTGAAAAGAGCACTTTTGTCACTGGTAAAATGTAGATTCATTTTGAGGGTGCTATCCAGTGTCGCATTTAATACATTCTCTACGAGGGATGTATCGAGATGGCAGTCTTTGTTGGCTCGTTAAGAACTTTTGTCACTGGTAAAATGTAGATTCATTTGTGAGGGTGCTATCCAGTGTCGCATTTATCTACGAGGATGTATCACGAGATGGCAGTCTTTGTTGGCTTGTTGAAAAAGACTTTTTGTCACTTTTGTCTCTGGTAAGACATCCTCTAAAAATGTAGATTCATTTGTTGAGGTGCTATCCAGTGTCGCGTTTAAGACATCCTCTACGAGGGATGTATCACGAGATGGCAGTCTTTGTTGGCTCGTTGAAAAGAGCACTTTTGTCTCTGGTAAAAATGTAGATTCATTTGTGAGGGTGCTATCCAGTGTCGCGTTTAAGACATCCTCTACGAGGGATGTATCACGAGATGGCAGTCTTTGTTGGCTCGTTGAAAAGAGCACTTTTGTCTCTGGTAAAAATGTAGATTCATTTGTGAGGGTGCTATCCAGTTTAAGACATCCTCTAAGACATCCTCTACGAGGGATGTATCACGAGATGGCAGTCTTTGTTGGCTCGTTGAAAAGAGCACTTTTGTCACTGGTAAAAATGTAGATTCATTTGTGAGGGTGCTATCCAGTGTCGCATTTAAGACATCATCTACGACGGATGTATCACGAGATGGCAGTCTTTGTTGGCTCGTTGAAAAGAGCACTTTTGTCTCTGGTAAAAATGTAGATTCATTTGTGAGGGTGCTATCCAGTGTCGCATTTAAGACATCCTCTACGGGGGATGTATCACGAGATGGTAGTCTTTGTTGGCGTGTTGAAAAGAGCACTTTTGTCACTGGTAAAAATGTAGATTCATTTGTGAGGGTGCTATCCAGTGTCGCATTTAAGACCTCCTCTACGAGGGATGTATCACGAGATGGCAGTCTTTGTTGGCTTGATGAAAATAGCAATTTTGTCTCTGGTAAAAATGTAGATTCATTTGTGAGGGTGCTATCCAGTGTCGCATTTAATACATTCTCTACGAGGGATGTATCACGAGATGGCAGTCTCTGTTGGCTCGTTAAAAAGAGCACTTTTGTCTCTGGTAAAAATGTAGATTCATTTGTGAGGGTGTTATCCAGTGTCGCATTTAAGACATCGTCTACGAGGGATGTATCACGAGATGGCAGTCTCTGTTGGCTCGTTGAAAAGAGCATTTTTGTCTCTGGTAAAAATGTAGATTCATTTGTGAGGGTGCTATCCAGTGTCGCATTTAAGACATCCTCTACGAGGGATGTATCATGAGATGGTAGTCTTTGTTGGCTCGTTGAAAAGAGCACTTTTGTCACTGGTAAAAATGTAGATTCATTTGTGAGGGTGCTATCCAGTGTCGCATTTAAGACATCCTCTACGAGGGATGTATCACGAGATGGCTGTCTTTGTTGGCTCGTTGAAAAGTGAACTTTTGTCTCTGGTAAAAATGTAGATTCATTTGTGAGGGTGCTATCCAGTGTCGCATTTAAGACATCCTCTACGGGGGATGTATCACGAGATGGCAGTCTTTGTTGGCTTGTTGAAAAGAGCACTTTTGTCACTGGTAAAAATGTAGATTCATTTGTGAGGGTGCTATCCAGTGTCGCGTTTAAGACATCCTCTACGAGGGATGTATCACGAGATGGCAGTCTTTGTTGGCTCGTTGAAAAGAGCACTTTTGTCTCTGGTAAAAATGTAGATTCATTTGTGAGGGTGCTATCCAGTGTCGCATTTAAGACATCCTCTACGAGGGATGTATCACGAGATGGCAGTCTTTGTTGGCTCGTTGAAAAGAGAACTTTTGTCTCTGGTAAAAATGTAGATTCATTTGTGAGGGTGCTATCCAGTGTCGCATTTAAGACATCCTCTACGGGGGATGTATCACGAGATGGCAGTCTTTGTTGGCTTGTTGAAAAGAGCACTTTTGTCACTGGTAAAAATGTAGATTCATTTGTGAGGGTGCTATCCAGTGTCGCGTTTAAGACATCCTCTACGAGGGATGTATCACGAGATGGCAGTCTTTGTTGGCTCGTTGAAAAGAGCACTTTGTCTCTGGTAAAAAATGTAGATTCATTTGTGAGGGTGCTATCCAGTGTCGCATTTAAGACATCCTCTACGAGGGATGTATCACGAGATGGCAGTCTTTGTTGGCTCGTTGAAAAGAGCACTTTTGTCTCTGGTAAAAATGTAGATTCATTTGTGAGGGTGCTATCCATTGTCGCATTTAAGACCTCCTCTACGAGGGATGTATCACGAGATGGCAGTTTTTGTTGGCTTGTTGAAAATAGCACTTCTTTCGTTTCTAGTGAAGATGTTGATGAATTTGCGATGGTGCTTTCCTGTACGACATTTGTGACATCGTCTACAGGAGATATATTACTAGATAACAGCATATTCTGGCTTGTTGAAAAGTGCGCTTCTTTTGTTTCTGGTGAGGATGTAGATTCATATGTGAGTGTTCTACCCAATGTCATATTTGTGGTATCCTCCATAAGAGATATATCATTAAATGGCAGCAGAGGCTGGCTTGTTGAAAAGAGCGCTTCTTTCGTTTCTAGCGTAGATATCGATTCATTTATGACCGTTTTATTGAATGTCATATCTGTCACATGCTCTGCGAGAGATATATCACTAGATAGCAACACGGGTTGACTTGTTAAAAATAGCGCTTCTTTTGTCTCTGGTGAAAATGTAGATTCATTTGTGAGGGTTCTATCCAGTGTCGCATTTAAGACATCCTCTACGAGGGATATATCACTAGATAGCAGCATATGTTGGCTAGTTGAAAATAGCACTTCTTTTGTTTCTAGTGAAGACGTCGATGCATTTGTGAGGGTGCTTTCCTGTACCACATTTGTGACATTGTCTACGGAAGATATATCACTAGATAACTGCACATTCTGGCTTGTTGAAATGAGCGCTTCTTTCGTTTCTGGTGAAGATGTAGATTCATATGTGAGCGTTCTATCCAATGTCATATTTGTAGTATCCTCCATGAGAGAGATATCATTAAATGGCAGCAGAGGTTGGCTTGTTGAAAAGAGCGCTTCTTTCGTTTCTCGCGAATATATTGATTCATCTATCAGGGTTCTGTCTAATGGCATATCTGAGACATCCTCTACGAGAGATATATCACTAGTTAGCAACACGGGTTGGCTTGTTAAAAATAGCGCTTCATCCGTTTCTGATGAAGATGTAAGATCATTTTTTAGGGTGCTATCCTCTACAAGGGATGTATCACTATATAGTGGGAATGCCTGGTTTGTTGAGAAGGGCGCTTCTTTCGTTTCTGGTGAAGATGAAAATTCATTTGTTAGGGTGGTAGACGGTGTCCCATCTGTGATATCTTCGACGAAGGGCGTATCACTAGATAATAATACAGATGGGCTTGTCGAAAAGAGCGTTTCTTTCGTTCCTGGTGAAGATGTAGATTTTGTGAAGATACTATCCTGTGTAATATCTGTGTTATCTTCTGCTAAGGATATATCACTAGATGGCAGAACCGGTTGGCTTGTTGAAAATAGCGCTTCTTTCGTTTCTGGTGAAGGTGTAGATTCATTTGTGAAGATACTATCCTGAGTGATATCTGTGATATCTTCTATTAAGGATATGTTACTAGATGCCTGAATAGGTTGGCTTGTTGAAAATAGCGCTTCTTTTGTTACTGGTGAAAATGTAGAATCATTTGTGAGTGTACTATCTTTTGTGACATCGGTGATATCCTCTGCTAAGGATATATCATTAGATGGCAGCACCTGTTGGCTTGTTAAAAATAGCGCTTCCTTCGTTTCTGGTAGAAATGTAGAATTATTTGTGAGTGTAATGGCCTGTATAGCATCTGTGATATCCTCTACTAAGGATATATCACTAGATGGCAGCATAGATTGGCTAGTTGAAAATAGAGCTTCTTTCGTTTCTAATGAAAATGTAAATTCATTTGTGAGGTTACTATCCTGTGTAACATCGGCGATATCGTCTACTGATAGCATATCAAGAGATGGAACCACAGTTTGACGTGTTGAAAAGAGCGCTTCTTTCATTTCTGGTGAAGATATAGATTCATTTGTCCCAGTACTATTCTGCGTAAGATCTCTATCTTCTACAAGAGATATATTATTAGAAAACTGCACAGGCTGGCTTGTTGATAAGAGCGCTTCATTCATTTCTGGTGATTTATCTGTGAACTTGCTATCCTGTGTAATATCCTCAGCAATTGTTGTATCAGGTTGGCTAATTGGAAATAACATTTCTTGGTTGGAAAGTGAAACTTTTGCCTTCATAGTTTCGCTGACGTTCAAGATTAAACGTGAAATTGTTGTGGAGTCTAACCAACTACTGGAACGTAACCCTGAGTCAGTGATAGTGTGCCACGTCCTGTTGGTAATACTCGAAATTTCGCTATCTTTCACTGTAGTTTCTAACGAAGGCTCGACTTTGGATATATTCACGTATATACTGCGTGTGAATGATTCTCCATCATCAGTTAAGTGGTCACTTGACTTGAATGCTGTCATTTGGCTGGTGGATGTCTCCTCTAAAGAAGTATTATCATTTTCAGCCAAGGTTATACTCTCAGAAACTTGCGGAAAATTGCTACTCGGAATTGGAGAACCTGTTCTTGAAGGGCCATAAAATACAGTTGCATCTTCGAATTCTTTTGTTGTGTGTAAATATTGATATTTAATTTCCGTAGACAAAATATTCTCGCACCTGGAACCTTTTTTTAAATTAAGACAAAAAAGAAAGAAAAAATGAATAAAAGAAAAAAGAAAATGAACTTTCTTTAGATATTAAAATATTAGATAATTATTTTCATGCAAGATTGTCACGATAATTTGTTTTATCCAGTGAGATCATATGAACATCTTCCATGCAAAATTGTCATGATATTTTTGTATCTAGGGTGATAATATGAAAATCGATCATGCAAGATTGTCATGATATTGTTTTATCAAGGGTAATAATATGAAAATCGATATAAAGACATTATAAATATTAATACTAAGAGAGAAAACATGAAAATCAGTTGTAAAGGGAGAAAATCGGAAAAACAAACGTGCGAATAATCCATGTAACAACAGGGTAGCATGCATTAATTAATCATTTGAATGGCTACGAATGATTGTCATCCTATCTGTTTACAGGTAAGCAAAAATCTCCCTTCGAATAGTATTTTCATAAACGAAATTACCAAATGCAAGAAATTACACATCACTTATTTCGATTAAGCGCGTTATTTAGAACGATTACTTTGCTACTTATGTAAATGTAAATACAGTCTTAGCAATAACATATCTGACAGATAGCTATAAAAAGGCACTGTTGATTATTTACGGCTAATTTGTTTAAATAATTCACTATTGTTTGCGTCACGTAGTAAAATGATGCACTAAAATAAGTAACCACGTAATCATTTTAAGTTCACTGAATATCGGTACCTGATGAAAGTCAATATAAAGATAATATTAAAAAAAACAATGTGAAAAGAGAAAATATGAAAAACAATATAAATATATTTAATAATCTTATTAGAGGTACAGAATTTAATTGAGGCGATAAAAACAGACATAATTAAAAGAGACAAATTGGAACTTCAACTACTGTAGTTGGCAATACGAAAAGAAAAAAAAAAGAAAGAAAATGCTATAGAATAAGATATCCGGTTATCTCACCAGTCAAAACTCGACAGTTAAACTTACTGCGCATGTCGACTAAAAAGAGGAAACATGTGAAAGAAAATGCACACGTATCAATTAACACAGGTATATCTATAGCCAATGTCCTAGCAACCAATATTTTTGTTTGCATAAGAATAGCTGTCTTGATTTTATATAAATTTTCTCGAGGACTGTCTTGTGATATTTGGAAAGTGATTCACTGAAAACTGAGAACTTATCCTCACGGAAGGATGAGGCACATTTCCAGTTTTTGATAAGATACTCTAAAAATGAAGACCTGAATGTAAAGGAACAGTAATGCAAATTTTCAAGTTGACTATTTCTAATACACGCTGTTTCATGTTGGATAATTTTCTCCTCTATGAGTTGAATGGTCCTACTTATGTAGCAAGATTCACGCTGACATTTAAATCGATAAATTACAGAACTTTTCAGAGAGATAGCTCGACTTGAAAATTAGCAGGATCTAAACCAGGAAACCGGATCTAGCCATCGGGATTTTTCTAGTTCTGGGTGTCAGCAGATCGTAGAATGAAATTAAAAGCATTAGAAGCTGGGAAAATATATTGACGTTGCCATAGAACTGAAGAAAAAAAAATGGAGCAGTCCCGAAGAATCTTGCATAATTATTTGTCAAAATCCGAAGAAGAAATAAAATTATTCTGTGAAGAACCTTGAGTACTGAATTGCTATGTGATATCAATCCTCCTATATGACAATGAATGCTGGACGATTTCCTAACAGATGAAGAGGAGACTTGAGACAACCAAGATATGGTTCTACAGAAGGATGCTGAGAATATTTTGAGCGGAACATGTGAGCAACGAGTTTTGTTGAAAATGGGAGTAAAAAGGATTCTTAAGAGACAGTCAAAATTTTTGTGACAAATAATGTGGAAAGAGGGCTTAGAGAATTTGATACTCTCAGGATACACTGAAGACTGGAAGAGGCAGAAGGAAACGCGGAATAATCTACGTGTCTAGCTTGTGTAAATGGATGGCAGAACAGGAACTTGGAAGTAGAGTAAGGAGACAAACATAAACCTATACAAAATAGGAAGTTGTGGAGAGCCATAATGGCCCACGCTCTGAAGGGATACGTAGAAGTTGTAGAATTGAGATGACTCGCTGTCACTTTATATGCTACTGGTGTGAATTCTCAATTTCACAATGAAAAACCAACAAAAGTAAGATGATTAACTCGAATGAAACCGAATAGTTATATAAATAAATAACAGTTTGTTTTTTTTTGTTTTTTTGTAATGATGTTCGCCCTGTACAAGGCCCGAAAGCAACTCGAGGAAGAGAGTAACAGAGTTAGTTTCTGGGGACATGTGGGAAAGATAACGGTTGACCTTAGCCTTGAACAGATTAAATTTGTAATGATTAGGGAAGCATTTTCTTGGGAGTCGGTTCCACAACCAATGGTTCGCAAGAAGAAGCTGCAGCTTGAGTCAAACTTCCATTTCACCAATGGAATACTAAGGAATTGAGAAAAGATAACGTTAGCACCCATAATCAATGGATCTTAGGAAGCAAGAGGAACGCCGTAAAGGCAAAACTTGACAAAAACCCATAAAAACAACAGATGGCGTCTGTGCGAAGAAAGGAATGAAATAGTAAAGCACATAATCAGAGAATTTGACAAAAGCTGGTCTTAAGGGAATACAAAAGAAAACACAGCAAGATGGCTGCAGTCAAACACTGAACTGTACAAACGACTTGGGTTCCAACATGTAGGCAAATCGTATCAGCACAAACCAGAGACTGTCTTGGAAAACAAATATCGCAAGGAATTTCGACAAACGAACCGACCACTCCATCCAAACAAGACTAAATCTAATCGCCATAAATAACGGGGAAAATAACCTGCCAGATTGTGAACATAATTGTGCCAAAGTTTCTATATTTCTGAGATGAGGTATTATGTACATTATTTACATTATTCGGACTATTGTCCTCATCTTTGTCGCCATATTTGTCACAACATTTCGGCCGTTGTACGCTCCGGCCTTCTTCAGGTGGTTGGAATGTTGAACTGAACCCTTTATTTAGCTCACTGGGGTAGACTGTTCGAGTTCCACGTGTCATGTTTTGATGGATGCCAGTTATCAGTTATCTCCTGTTAATTCCCCTCTGAAAGTTCTCCACTGCCTTAACCGGGTATTGAACTCACACTGTTTTGGGTTCTGTCACTGGATCTAACCAACGCCTTTATCCACTGTGCCATGTGTCCTTGAGGACATCTGGGTAAAAATTGCAATATGAGCACTGGTAAAAATGGTTGCTGAAGATATTAGGTTTATAATACCCAGAAATTCATACCCAGATGTCCTCAAGGACACATGGCACAGTGGATAACTTTCAGAACTTTCAGAAACGTTGTGATAAATATGACGACAAAGATGAGGACAATACTCCGAATAATGTAAATAACGTATAATTGTGCCAACTGATCACAGAACGAACGTAAGTACCAGGACCTTTCCCGTGAACTGAGAAAGATTAAAAAATATATGAAAGTAAGACCAATTCGACTGAAGGAACGCGAATTGCAAAAGGGTATCTATCGATGTAATTCCATTAAGACAGCTATCATGGCCGGAGTGAGACACAGTTAACGGCACGGTGAAGGTGGTAGGTTCACAATGTCTGTATACACCACAGGAGTATTGGGGACAACGTAGATACTGAGAAAAGATGTTGGAAATTTTAATAGACTTATTGTTCATTCCTCAACGATGACTACTAAACACCTGGTGTGAACATGTAAAAGTAATAATAATAATAATAACAACAGTAAAAGACATTGATACAACAGGTGCATTAATAACAGAAAAATGAAAAAGAAAATACAATACCAGTATTTTGTGTATTACAGATACATATGAATCCACTTCCATTTTCTGTTCGTTTGCAATGACCCCCATTTTGACAAAGTGAACTTTGACATGGATCAGCAAGCCGTCTATCAAATTCGCACCGTTCTCCGTAGAAATGTTCCTGGCATCGGCAGATGAAATATGCAATACCATCTATGCAGTGTCCCTGCAACAATGATTAAATTATTAGCAATAGCCAAATGCAAACCTACTTGAAATTTTTTTTCCGTAACATTGAGTTATATAATGTTGTAATGTTGTAATCTCAGTGAAAAATTATCTTGAAAAATATGTAAAAAAGAAAGATTACTATGATTAATGTAATATGATTTTACTGACCAATGAGTATATTTTAAATTTATAGATTATATCTAGAGCTAAGACGGTATCATGAATGAACATCACACGATTAGATAAAAGGGACGAAAATACATGCAAATTAAGCTTGTAACATGGCGGATCGAAAATTAAATAAAGACTGCAAAATTATAGATTAATTCTTTTTCTTGCGGCTTTATTTAGTTAAGAACAGGTGACGTTAGCAATGGATTTATGCCTAATTCAAAAACATCCATACCGGAACCTCGGTTTGCGTTTGTCGGAGTTACCACCTCCTTAATGTCTTAATTTTTGAAACTGCTACTTGGGGACGCTCTCCATATACTTTATAGACTTGGTGATACCTTGCCGCGTTCTCTTCCCACTTTTCAGTTGATGCGACACGATGTAAATCTCTCGTGAAGATTTGCGTTTTCCCCTTTGTGGCGGGGAAGGGGTGCTATGCCTTTCCTTCGGAAAATGGGCATGAACATTTCATACACACGTGCGTACGAACTTTCACCTTCACTTACTTTGACCACAAATTTTCTACGCTCATTCATACACACTAATTATCGTCTTTGTCAATTGTAACCCCTATTATATGTCAATACACATATATCTCTTTGTATATATATATATATATATATATACCGGTCTTTGTTGTTTTCCTCACATTTTTCCTTTTACATTTCTGTTGGCGGGCTTATATTCCGGGAGAGTCCGCCATCTTTGTAGTGGGCCCTATTTCAGGAGATGCGCGTGTTTGTCCCACAACGCGTACAAACGGCCCGCTACACATTATTATGTTAGGAAAACATTTCGGTGAGGACAGGAAGCGTGGCTTGCATTGAATGAACAGAAGTCAAGACTGAGTAAGATGTTGTAAAACACAACCTCTTCTGATTATTATTGTTATTATGTTGGTGCCGCACATTGACGTGACGAAAGGAAATTCTGAAACAATATTAGTTTACTACGATCTAATCTTCTGCCAGACGACGAAGATGGAGAAATTTTGAATCTGAAATTTTAGAAACTGAAATTTTGAAATAGCACCACGGTGTTCCTTACCACATATTACGTGCAATAAAAATGTTTATTCTGGATGATGTTCAACTTTTGGTAGACTCAACACAATGTTCTGATCTCAATATAATCAAACCATTGTGGTGGGAATTGAAGAAACAAATGCTCCAGTGAAAATCACGCAATCTCTAAGAGCTTTGTGATTACTGCCAAGAAGAATGGTAAAAAAATTCCTAATGCGAAAATCTGAAACTTGTACCATTCAAGGCCGCATCAAATTGAGGCAATTATTCAAGCCAAAGGTAGCAACACTAATTACTATTTCCATACAACAGAATGAATTAAAGGAATCGATGTCAGTATATTTCCAATATTCAGAACACGAGTTTGGTGCTATAAAAAGAGGCGCCAATGAAAAGCTTCCACTGAATAGGCTCATGCTGTGTATTTAGTACTTCAAAAGGTCCAGATATACTATTAGGGTAACTTAAATTATTTTCAAAAGAAATTATTTTTTGTATAGTGTCTGCGCAAGTGTGAAACTTTGTAATTCGAACATCTTGCGTTACTAAATTCTTCTTTTAGCCTCGAAACTAGCAGCTCACTCTGCTGTTTTGCCAAGTTTAAATATCTTACAAGACCATTAAGATCATACTGTGACAGAGGCTTTGGCGCAATGTGATTCAAGTTCGGAAGCTGCTAGGTATCGTCAGTTCATTCAGGAAATTCCATTTCTGATTCGTCTGTGTTATATAGGAATAAAATGTCGCTGCCGACACTTGAGTTTGAACATAGACCGCCAGTGAGTAAACACAAGCGATCCCATTATTGAATTAAGTAGACCACGTGACCATAGAGGAAACGCATATATGGGAGGTAGCGTGTGTCTAATTGATTGCATTTCTAGTCTATCCTCTATTACAATTCGTATCACTATTTCTAGTCGATCCTCTATACTATATGGACCACTACTTTCTACTCTATTCACTTTTCGGATCACTATACGGATTGCTATTCGAATGATTATTATCGAGCAAGTACTATTAGTGCGAGATTATTCGAAGGCGTCCGATACTAGTATTGTCCAACGTCGTACTGTAGTTGTATCGGCGATTACAAAGTCTCTACTACAACGAGCATTACGAAAGTGACAACGCGTATTCGTTGACATCACAGAAGTAATAATAAAGATCACTTTTAAAAAAAACGTGACGAAAAAAACTTTTTAACTGGGTCACCAATCAGACTTTTTACTTTCAGCTCTCAAAATGCAGACATGAAAATAGTTTTTTAATGTGAAGCCAAGACGAACCTCAATTCAGTAAGTTGATCGTGAGCATAAAGATGTTTTGAAATTAATTAGCATTTATTGTGTGATCGAAAGGCTAAAAACGCACACACATACACGAACGCAATTTCGTCCTATTGATGTAAATAATAGTTATAATGTAATTCATTAAAAACTAGAGATCCGTCGTCTTTGCACTTCCGCTCTATAAATCGGCAAATGTAGAGCCCTAACTTCGTATCTGTAGACAAGTTCACGGATCCCAGGTATATTTTTTTAAATTGCCGGGTATAATGTTGAGATATGAATAGATACCAGACTTAATAAATCTGGAATTTTTGAAAGATGATTTTAATAAATTTCGCAAGATTATTAACGCTGTCGAAATGTTTACAAAATAATCAGAATATATATACAAAAAAAAAAAAAAAATAGTCAAACGAGAAGGCGCATTTTACCCCATTCAGGCACGGGTTGCTTTCACAGGAATAAAATTTTCTTTCACATAACGCCCCTGTGTACGCTGGATTACAGATGCAGTGGAAGGCATACATACCATCCAGGCATGTGGCGCCATGTTGACATGGATTGCTTGAACATTCGTCAATTTCAGTTTCACAATATTTTCCTGGACCAAAAAAATATACATATATAAATATAAAATTAGATGAAATATAATATATAAGACGGAAATGTATAGAAAGTGTTTTAATAGTTCATCCACAGTAAATTTGCGTTCAGGTTCTTACAATATTTCACCTTTCTTCGCAGATCTTCTATTGTCACAATGTGGGATATTTAATAATAAAAGTGGTGAAAACGTAAACAAAAAGAAACTAAATGTAATCGACTAGACTATATACCCAAAGTCATATTTAAAAAAAACGATTTAAATTTAAAGTTTCACTGTCTCCTTTCCTTCATTCGCATGTGTAATCACATCAACGTAAAAATCACTTCAGTCCGATGAAGTCCTAAACGCCTCACACACAAAAAAATGTTCCACTTTGTCATAGATTTTCCTAAAATTGTTCTTATATAGAAAAAAAACTTATATATTGCTTTCCCATTAAATATATACCCATAGCACACATACGAAATACTACCCAAAAGTTCGCGAAAATTAACCATGAAAAAATTACTTACTCCAGAATCCAAGAACGCGGCCTCTCAACTTGCATATAGCTCAAAAAGCATAGTCACAAAAGTCCGTATTACATTTCAATTTGAGCTGTTGAAAATTTCCGTAACTTTTAAATAGTGCCTCCTCGTATATAAACTAAGAATCTGACCATAAAAAAATGTTTTACCCTAAAGACTAGTTTCTACCTTCTCCTTTGAAATAGTTCCCTGTCAACTGTCTGGCACACAAAAAGGTAGAAACAAAAGTTCGTACGACATTTGATTTGTGCGTTCTATCTAACTTTCTGGAACTTTTGGTGCTAACATTGCTTTTACAGTGAATTACCTCTTTAACAAGCTTTGTCATAACCAAGTGCACACTGTCGCCAGTTTAAACAGAGCAGATATTGGCTGCTGAAAATCATTTGAATGCTATTACAGTATTGGCTATCAACAATCATTGTCATACAAGGATTTAAACCATCCTTTGAAGAAGAGAAAAAAAGGGCAATTGCTTTAACACGTGCACATTCACAAACTATCTCTCTCACACACACAAAGACCACATTAAGTCTAAATACTGGTCTCCTTCGTAGATTCTGTTTCTCTGCATCTCCTCTCGGTACAAGCAGTCTGTTTTCAATTCCAGGTTATTAAAAAATGGAAAAATAAAAAAAATTCTAATGCTTATTATCTCAGAAGACTGACTCTCGCTACTTAAAAGAATGGCGTAGTACAATCTTCCTCTTCCTATCCCTGCCTCCTAATTTCGTCTTGGAATGTGCTGAGCTAAACTCATTGAATAAATAATGAGACTGAAACAAATTCAAAATATACATTATGAGACCAGTTTTTGAAAGAACGCGTATACCTACCTGTGTATCCCGGAAAACAGTTACAGGTGTATGATGCCGGAGTCTTTTCAGGAAGGCATTTCCCGTTTTGACATGGGTTTCTGTCACAGACATTTTGATGGCCTTTTTGTACTTCGCATTTTTTACCTTCGAAAAACTCCGTGCACCGGCAAAAGAACGACGTTAAAATAACAAAGCAGGTAGCCTGGAAAAAATGCAAATAAAAGGTAAGTCAATACAGTTATTCTTGTTGCATTTGCATTCCTTCTTAGTGGCATGTTTCGTTCCGGGAAGGGTTTTATAATGGTCTTATAGAGTTTTATATGGCATTGAGCATTTTTTGTGTCGTTAAGGTTTCAATGTAAACTGTAACCGATGCTTGTTATATTTCTCCCACACTCAAAATACGCACACCCAAATATCCCCACGCTACATATAAGACTGACCTCCGCTATAAAACCATTATTGATCTGAAAAATTTCCTTCTCGGACCGAAACCTCGTTATTAAATGTTATTTTTTCATTTTGTAATTCGCTTACTATGAGTCTGATATATAGATTTGTATACCATATACTCCATATATGCGTGTACATGTACATATATAGACGAAAGTCTGAAACCACCCCCGGAATTAGCATGAAATGAAATTGATGATGAGTGGAAAAAAAAAAAAATGAAAAAAGAGCTTTTAGTCATTGAAAAAAAAGAATGGAATCAATTATCAAACTTATACTTTGAGAAACTTTTGCAACGAATGCGAAAAATTTGTGCTGCAGTAATCAAGGCTAAAGGAGGATATTTTGACGAGAGCAAAACTTAATTATAAAGTGTTTTTTTTTTTAATAAAAAAATCATGTCTCACATTTTTTAGCTGTATAATAATTTTCTCTTATTTAAAGTACAAAACTACTTTGCGAGCTAATTTTAAAAAATTACCAGGGGTGGAATCAAACTTTTAAATTGTAGTGCATATATATATATATATATATATGTGTGTGTGTGTATAATTTAAAACATTATTTTAGTGAATACTTCATATTCGAAATGAATGCGCATTTATTTAATTTTATTAAATTTAAAATATAAAATGGGGCGCTTTCCAAATACAAAATATCCGCTATATAAAGTAATATATATATATATATATATATATATATATATATATATATATATATATATATATGTGTGTGTGTGTGTTTATGTAATAAAATGTAGTATTAAAAATAAATCCATTACTTCCTTATATATATAGAAAGAGAGAGGCCTGCAGGCATACATATGCTATGTGGACATAGGTATTAACACTAAATGGCGTCTGTTTCACGCTTCGGTCGTCATCCCATGCAGCATTACGTTTACGGATGTAACACTGTCACCATTCATTTTTGATACATATCCACACTGCTTGTATTTATTTGCGCTTTGATCGTGATATTGAACATTTTTATCTCACAAATATAGCATATATATCTTCCATATGTATTACTTCATCTACAATGATTTCTACTCATTATATTCCGTAGTGGGTGCTAATGAACATTGAAATAAACGTCAATATATTGATATAATTAACCGTAATACTTGTTTATAAACCAAATAGATTATAAGCCCGAGTTCAGGTGTCTTTTACCTGTAAATAAAATATAAATTTCCAAGACTTCCCTCCATAAAAAAACTTCCGACATGGATAAAGCTTTACTCAAAATTTTAAACAATATTTAATTCCTTTTTAATATAAAATGTTCATTTTGTAACAATTATCAAAAGAAAAGTCACCATTTGCAATTTGAGTTTTCAGTAAACGTCAAGTTGGATTATATTGATTACGTTTAACTTATAATTTATAAGATTCGGCATTTTCTACATGTAAATAGAAAAGACATTTGTTAAAAAGTATGAGAAATGATTATCTACCCTTGGCAGTTTAAGGTTAGCCAATCAGCTTACAGTTGCTGATTGGCGCGCTTTTCTACCTATTTTTGAAGAACACACACTCTTGGTAAGACGTACGAAATGACCACTTCTAGAACCATCCAGCTCTACATAGTTATCCTCAGAGAGTCCGTACATGGCGAAAACATCGACTCTTCTTCAGCAGTTAAGTTTGGTCGCAGACACCATTAAGTTTGCAAGGACTTATTTGCAATACTGTTTAATAAAACTTTTATAAATCAGAGGTCAGTCACATTCTATTCTTTATTACGATTCGAATATCGGGGACAGAAAGAAAATGCCGAAAACTCGATTCGCAAGTACTATTTCACAAACCACAATGCAAGCAACCAGTCAGAAAAATAACTCCCTCGGTAGCCAAAATCACCGACTTTTTTTTTTTTTTTTACCCCGATTCGAGAATACCAACTGCTTTTATCGGCCGAACATTTTTTTCCATTCGTCGACAGCTGGGAGAGGATGTTCAGTAATTTGCATATCAACATACTTTTATAGCGACTCCTGCGACGGATTTGTTCTTTTTAATTCAAATATTCCATTTTCTGCATGTCATGCGGAATACGTGCCCTTTTGTTTGGTAAGTAATTTTCTTTTTCGCCACATTTTCCGTCGTAGAATACACGCGACGCGCTGTCGCTTGGTTTGACGAGGTAAGTCGCCGTTTTCTTCGCTATACAAATTGCATTGAATAAAGCTTCATGAGTTTAAAGTAAACCACTAGAAATTACTGGAGATATGAAATCTCTGATCCATGTTCTTTGCTCGTCTCTGACTAAATTACCATGTAAATTCAGTATTTCGTAGTGTCATTTACAGTTCAAAACGACAATGACCTCTTCATTCCGTTTTCTTTTTAATAAACAGTTGGTTGGGATGACATAACTAAGAAACAGGAATATGTGATGGAAAAAACAAAACTTGCTTGATGTCTACCAACACAAACGGAACAAACTAAAATATTTCTGAAAAACTGATTAAACCTCAACCGTTACAAATTTTTTTTTTATTTTTTTTTTTAACCTCCAATTTGTTTGAAATAGTTTCATTTGTAGGCTATGCGTCTCAAATCTGACAAAAACAAACTTATCAGTGTCCAGAAAATGAGCGATGAAATCTGAGATGTTGATGGTTTAAATATTTCACCAGATATTTTGGATTATTTATTGACTATTGAGTCTTCTATTTATAAGATAGTTAAGTAGGTATTATTGTTGGCTCTAAAATGACTAACCCTCTTTAATATTAAATACTGCTACTGAGATGCGTTACCGTTATCGGTGGCAAACCAGGTTCAAATCCTGGTTTAGTATGCTGCATTCGCTTCCGCATTAATACCCATAAAAAAGGCATGACTCACTTTCCCCTTTCATCTTATCTAGGAGAAAGACAACTCTAAATTTCAAGCCGGGGAGAAGGAAATAGGAAGCCACTCCACTATCTTTCCCAAGAAGGCATGGCAATTCAGATAATAATAAAAAATGGATCTGGAGAAAACTAATTGTCTTTAACATTTAGGATAACTGCCATAAAAATTACCTATTAAATTATTATGGGATAAACGAATAACTTTTAGTTTATCCCATAATAGTTATATTTGCGTATTTTCTTTGCCGAACTTACTAAAAATTATGCTTATGTCCTAGCGATAACTTTATTTTTAAACTTGACTCTATTTGTGTAAAATAACGTCTGGAAGCGAATTGTTCGAAGGCAAGCAAAAACTGAATTTATCAAAACTGTAAGCAAACAATATTGACTATCTATGGAAATTTAAGGGAAAGTAAGGCAAAAATCGATGATACTAAAATCAAACAAGTACAAAAATTTAAATATCTGGGAAGTGTTCTAACATAGCAGGGAAAGTGCGACACTGGCATCCGAAGACGTATTGGGATGGGCAAAGTTGCATTCCAAAAGCTAAGCAGAGTAATAAGAGACGGAAAAATGTCGTTAGAAACAAAGAAAACAGTATTGAACTGTTACGCGATATCTGTCTTCCTGTATGGCAGCGAATGCTGGACAATCTCAAACATGTAGAACAGGCTTGAAGCAACGGAAATGTGGTTCTACATAAAGATGCTGAGGATACCATGGATCGAACATGTGAGCAACAAAGAAGTTTTGCAGAAAATGGAAACAAATGAAACTTATACTTAACATCATGAAGAGGCAGTTGAAATTTCCGTGGCACGTAATAAGGAAGGAGGGCTGGGAAAATCTGATCCTCACAGGACAGATCGAGAGCAGCACGTAACATACTTGATGATATTGAGTAAATGGATGGTAGAACAGGAATTGGGTGGGATAGCAAAAAGACAAAACTTAAGAGCTACAAGAGACCGGAAGGTGTGGGAGGGCCATGATCGCCTACTCCCTGAAAGGACAAAGCACATTAAAAAAAGGCAAAAACCGAGATGTTAAATGGTACTCAGTGTTACCATATTTGCTATAACATTCTTAAAATCGATGCACAACATAACTGCTGCTTAAAAAGAATTGAAAGCGCAAAAGTGTAAATATAAAATAAAATTAAATCGTTTCTCAAAATTAATAGCTTCAAACATTGAATTCGTAAATTATTTTCATTGAGTTTATATTGCTTTTTATTTAAAATATAACCACTATTTCAGCTTAAATTTAATGTAACAATTATGGGACACTGGTGATATTTCTTATTTTTCAAATAGGCTGACGATGATTTGAAACTGAAGCTTCGGAATACAGTCGATATATATATATATTTTTTTTTTTTTTTTTTATAGACTACCTGAAGAAATTTCACGAGTTTGTTTTTTAACACTTAAAATAGAATAGAAAGAAAAGATTTCTCATTTCTACCCCATTAAGACAAGGGTTGGACTCGCACGGCAACAAACGGGTTTCGCAACTCTTTCCTGTGTAGCCGCTAGGGCAGATGCATTGAAAGGAGTTCAGTTGATCTTGACACGTTCCACCATGGAAACAAGGATTGCTGACACATTCATTTATTTCCAGGTCGCATAGAATACCTGCAAATACCAACAGAAAAATATCAGCCAAAAAGTACAGTATTAGATTTCAGCAGCAAGAATTTGGCAGTTTAGGGGAGAGATTTCCAATTTTGAATAACTCCATCGACAATTTTTTTTTTTCTTTCTGTTACTTTTTTCCTTTTTCTCTTCCCATCCACGCTTTCTTTTTCCCTTTTGTCTGTTGCCGCCTTTCTTTGCCTTCCTCCTCTATTTTTCTCTCCCCCTCCCTGCCTCTCCCCCTCCCCCCTCCCCCCCCCCTCCCTGCCTCTCCCCCTTCCCCTCCCTGCCTCTCCCCTTCCCTCCCTGCCTCTCCCCGCCTCTCTCTCTTTCTCATATATATATATATATATATATATATATATATCCTGGAAAGCATAACGAGCAGAGATACCAAAAGGGGGAGAAATGTGTAGGCGATTCAAATTCTAATTTTGCAGACATTAATCCAAATTTCTTTTGTAATATGAAACAACGCCCCGTTATATATTTATCGGTCACGCAGCTTGATCGCTCATTCTTAGTAATGAGATATCTTGTTGCTTTGGGCATTTCGACGTTGTGTAATGTTTAACGAGCTTCTCTCGCTAATTTGATTATGACTGAGTAGTGAGTTCAATCCTCACTGGTTGCCCCATTTCTCTTGGCCTTGAGCCGCAACTAAGCTATGCCTATTAAAAATGGCACTCCGACGTGGTGCAATGGTTAGCAAGCTTGTCTCGCTAAACCAATCACGACTGAATAGCAAGTGCGATCCTCATTGGGTGCCCCTTACTTTCGACTTTGTGTCGTATCTAAGCTTAGAAAATCACCATAGCCAGAATTGCTGTATGTTAACGCAATAAATCTTGAAATACATTTTCATTAAATGACGCCAATAGCAAGTTACTATGACAAAAAAATGTCTCGTTAATAAGTAGGGGAGGTTCTTTGGGGGGGGGTCATTCTTTTGTTTCACGGTACGGCATTTTCTTGTACATTTATTTTCTTGGTAAATTAAGATTGGTGGCAGTAAATATCCCGTTTAGTATTTTGGAATTGTTTGTCAGTTTCCTGATGTTAATCAATTTGGCATCTCCGCTAGGGCCTGATGCACTGGGCGACTCTGTCCATGAACAGGTGTGCGGGGAACATCGCAGTGTCGAGAGGGTTACTTTTTATTAAGTTTGAAGGCTGAGGCAGCCAAGTAGACTTGGGAGTCACATCTTGATAATTGGGAACACTCGCCATCGGAGACCGTATCAGTCGACTGGATTACTCTGTTTCTAAACCTGTCCCACCCGTAAAGTTATGCGCTGCTTTTATCAAAACTTCTAAACACATCGCGCATATTTGGTTGTGGAGCATGTACCTGATATACCTTTATCAAATGTTATGGTATATATTAGTTTCGTATATTTGTACCCGAACGTCACATTTTTTTTTTTTTTGATTTGACTTGACTTCTATTTCTTCCTTCTTCCGCCTCGTGGATAAGACGATCCTATTTTATTGGGTATATTCTGTTCCTTTAACTAGCTTTCATTTGAAACTGCTCGCGATCTATGATCGTAAAGATCACCCAATATCGTACTCATTATAATGGAAGTGATTTTAATGTTGATTCAATAAAGCTGATAATAATTAGGGTTAATTCAATAACAATATGATGACAATAACAATAATAATATAAATAATTAATAATTTCAGTCTTACCTGTTCTTCCTGGTGGACACTGGCATTTATAAAACGCTACTTCATCAATGCACGTCGCGTCTTCATGGCAACGATTATACAAACAATCGTCTTGATTCTGCAAACAGTCTTTCCCAATCCAGCCTGGAATATGTACAAGAAAGTTGTCATTAAGAGAAATATTGATGTGGAAAGCTTAAGAGAATCGTTACGCACTGTCAGTGTTTCATAAATAAGTGACTATACTGTTTTGAACGCGCGGAAAGACACACTAAAGACGCTGTAAAGAAAGAAAGAAAGAGGCGGTAAATTTCTCGCGTGTTTCGCATCTGCTTCAGTGAAATGGAAAAAGTTTGTCAATTTTAATTTTTTTTTTTTTTTTTTTTTTTTAAATTTTTACCTTTTTTTTTTTTTTTTTTTTTTTTTTGTAACAAATAATATCCTACATTCATACTTATGATTGTTACTGCAATATTTTGTTATCGTTGCTAAGCTGAAATATTTAACGATGTAATGCCGGCGGGGGGAGGTCCACTGGTATTTTATAGTCGCAGAAGTCTCAATTTATTAATTGTTACATCAGAAAATTAAAATAGGAAAAACATGAAATTTTCTCGGGTGCTACTAGTTTTATTATACCTTTACCAATTTCTGAGATGTTGTGGTTATTATTTCGTGCCAGTTTCTTCATCTTTGTTGCCTTTAAAATATTTCGGTTGCTGTATCTTCCGGCCTTCATAAATCAGAGGAAGGCCGAAGATGTAGCGACTAAATCGTTATGATAGACAAAAAGGTTCGATAATTTGTTTGAATTTCTAGTGTGAAGAGTAATATCCTCATTTTTGTTGCTACTATCCTAACTAGTATAGCATAGTGAATTAAAATGTTGATTTGGTGACATAGTAATTGTAAGTTCAATCCTTGGGCCGGGTAGTACAGACTTAAATTCCGTAGGGCGGGCAATAATTGAACAGTAACAAAACTAGATATCCCTTGACATTGACGACAGAACGAGAACAATCTATTCTTGTAAAGGGGTCGGTACGAAATTCTCTTACAGATACCCGGATCGACAGAGACCTGAAGAAGGCTGCAGGGCACAACGGCTGAAACGTTGTGATAATAACAACAAAGATGATGATATTAGTCCAAATGTAAATAAGAAAGGATAGAGACAATGTACAATTGTTAATTTTGATCTTTAATGATCCCTTTAACAATATGCTTTTGAATAAAGATAGCGATTCTTTTTAAAATGACATGTACTCTCGGGGCGTGGGTGATCACGACTCCTCAAAAAGTCTTTTTCATTATTAACTGTGAATTGCCATACATTTCTAGGAAAGATAGTGGAGTGGTTGTCTTCTCTGCAGTTTCGAATTGTGTTCCTCTCTCTTTGGTTGACATTCAAGGCTAGATAACCCAATCTACCTTGCGATTTAATTCGTATCTGAAGATGCGGAGGGGGAAAAAGATATTCATACCTTTCGCAGACCAGATAGGAATTCGAACTTGTCTCGCCGATTCCACTTTCTTCGCCGATATCGGTTACACCACCCATACACCCGAGATGGTGATAAATAAGAGTAAAGGTCCTAGCGAGAGGAACGTTAGTTCAAAAGCCCCAAACTTCTACTAACCGATAGCCTTATTGCCTCAACAACATCGCTCGACTCGAAGAGTTTGAATGTTCCATCTCTTTTTGAATGTAAGCATTTAAGAGACCCATCGAATAATAACGGTCGATTTACAGAACTTCGTCCTCTGTATGACGATAAGCTACATCCAGCAGCAAAGCCTCTGAAGGAGAGATTGGGGGGGTTTTGGGGAGCGTGGAACCACCTCTTAACTATTATTATTCTCCGGTTCATCCTGGCCTGGGATGTTAGCACCTGTCAAGGTCCCAGCTATGGGCAAATAGTGAACTCAAAAACAAAAACCAACCGTACATTTTTATAATAAAATGACCAACAAAATGACAAATACAAAACTAAAAAAATATAAAAATACATTTATAGTAAAATTATCAGCAATACATATTTATAAAAAAATTATCAATGCATTTTGTTGTGAAATTACCAGCAATACCTTTTTGGAAAAAAAAATTGCCAAACATATTTCATCATCTACAAACTATATATCTAAACTACACACATTTACCCTGAAAGTATGAAATAATGTAGAAAATATTTAGATTTCAGCATTTAATCACCCATAGAGGTTGATATGTCGCTAAACAAAATCAACCAAAATTTACAAAACTAAGCGACAAGACACATAATGGAATAGATATTTACTAAGCGTAGCTTAGATGTGGCACAATGCCGAAAGTATGGAGCGCTCAGTGGGGATCGAAAACGATCGACTAAGTGTAGTTTAGTTGTGACACATGGACGAAAGTATGGAACACCCAGCGAGGTCGTAACTGATCTAGCAAGACAAGCTTGCTAACCATTGCACCACGTCGAAGTGCACACACACGCATAATAGAGCATGCTGGCAAGAGATACAATATTTGTATATAGTTACTAGTTGATATCACCGTCAACTATGACATCTTTTTCGGGGCTCGCTCGTGAAACACCGCGCAAGCGTGTTTTCTGCTTTTTTTTTCTTTTATGTAAAAGCCTTATTTTACCACAGCTTTCGAACTTCACCGGGAGTTTTTGTTGCAAACAGAAGCGTTTGTTTTATTTTTTTAAATTTTATTTTATTTCTTTTTTATTTTGCAGTAGGGTTCACCCAGTACAAGGCTCGGGGCCACTTGAGATAGATGGTTACTTTAAGAGGCAATTTATATTGATAGGATGGGAAGATAACGGTTAACTCTAGACTCGAATAGCTTGAGGTTGTAGTGATCGGGAAAACATTCTCCTGGAAATCTGTTCGATAGGAAAGTGGTTTACGGGAATAAGCTGTTTGAGTGGAACTTACTTCTCGCCGATGGAATATCGAGGGAATGTTGGTGATTTGCTACTACGTAAGTGGTATGACGCGTCCTAGTCGTTAAAATTAGACCTAGCGGAACCAAGGAATGTAGTTCGTCCGAGCACTTTCCATGGAAGTAACGATAGAGCAGTGATAGTGTCGCTACATCCCGCCTGTGAGAGAGGGGTTGGACGCAATCAAGACTGGAAAGTGAGGACTCATCTGGCTCTTATATAGGTAGAGGATAGCATGAGGTGTCAGGCACTTACTGGAGCGGTACAGGGAGTCGATCATTTTTACCTGCATCTTTAGCAACGGATTGTCTATAAGAGTTTCCACTTGAGGTAGGGTGTAAGTTTGTCACATGGCACAGTGGATAAAGGCGTTAGTTAGATCCAGTGACAGGACCCAAAAAGTGTGAGTTCAGTACCTGGTTAAGGCGGCGGAGAACTTGGAGAGGGGAATTAACAGGAGATAACTGACATCCATTGGACACGGCACGTGGAACCAGAACAGTCTACCCCAGTGAGCTAAATAAAGGGTTCAGTTCGATATTCCAACCACCTGAAGAAGGTCGGAGCGTACAACGGCCGAAACATTGTAATAAATATGGCGACAAAGATGAGGACAATAGTCCGAATAATATAGTGTTTAAGTTTGAGGTATGAAAATATGTATATCTAAGTCGTATCGGTATTAAGACTCAAAACGACGTCTTTTCGAGTTGGTGATGCTGACTTACCTATCGATGATAGCGCTTAAGGGGATGTTACTTATGTGTGCATCCCAATGTCTTATCCAAAGAACTTGAATACACGAGAACCAAATGTAGTAAGGACTGTTGCCGATACTTTTTGTGAGATTCAATATGCTTACCCAAAGGTACTATTTTGAAGGACTCTGTGGAAACCAGCTGTTAATGTGCGTGATAAACTGATATGCAATATGTAATCTATTTATATGGCCGTGAATGTCGAACAATCTCTTTACAGATGAAGATGCTTGATGCAAAGAAAAAGATTTTTATCGACAAATGCTGAGAAAACCATGTACAGAATACATGAAAACTAGGAAGTCTTAAGTGGGAACTACAAGGAAACGGATACTTACGATCCGAAACAGTTGAATTTTCGTTAACTCCTAATGAGGAAAGGTGGCCTGGAGAATCAAACACTCAAGACATACTGAAGGCAAGAGAAGCAGAACCTATATAACGAGTTTGTATGAAGGGATAGAAAATTAAAGACGAAGAGGGATGATGAAAGATGAAAAATTACTTGACGCAACAAAATAGAGGAAATCATAGAGCCATAATCGTCTATGTTCTAAAGATAACTGGCGCATAAAAGAACAAAGTCCATCTCTTTAATGACATACCAAAATTGCAGATTTTACGTCCTGTCTTCTTTTCACAAGTGTAGTGACCTTTTTGTGAATTGGTTTCAATGCAGAAGGTATTACAGTCATGCCCGTAATAATGAGAATCACAGTAGATGTTCAACTGTAAACTGATGCTAAAATATAAAAAAGAAATAATGATAAATAGAAAGTTAAAAAAAAAAAAAATTGACAAAATTTCAAATGTCATTATTGACGTTGGAAATATTAAATTCCTTATTTGTATTATCATTTCAATCTCGGCAAAACAATGAAGCCACTAAGATCCAAGGGGTTACTGAGTGCGAAAGAATATGAGAAAAAGAAAAAAAACATTTGGAAAGAGTGAGAAAAACAAAAGAACAGGTGCAAAGACAGAAGATAACGATTCACATTGCATTTAAATTTTTGAAGATCAAACTTGAAACAAAGAAGAAAGTTCCACAGGTGAGAAAATAAACTGTTAGCATAGAACTTACGGTTACCTCTAATCATTTCAAACTGTAAAAGGAGGAGACCTTGCCGACAGTCTAGTACTGCGCTTAAATTCATAAGGTCTAGGTACCATAGAGGAAAGAAATATTTATTTTGAATAATACAAAAATGTGGCACAATGGAAAGGGAAGGCTAATCTTCAATCTGTCTTATCTTAAATTTCTCTAGCCACAATTACTGACCTAAAAATACCACAATATTCCTTACACCAAAATAACACCTTCTTACTTACCATTCTTACTACAGTCACCATAATACCGCCAAATCTCTATGTAGCCCTAACTCGTTCTCGTATGTACAATTTGCCTGCTGGGGTTGGGAATAAAAATATCATTTAAAAATGAAACCCCAATGAATATTTACAATGGATACAATTTCTATACAAGAAACTAAACAAAATAGTATTAGTAATAAAAACCACGATCTTTAACTGTGTCAGAAAAATCAGTTAACTGGACGAAATTAATGCGGGACTAGGTAATTAATAACAATCATTCGACCAAACGCTCACTCAGTTACACACTCATCCAGACACAAAAACAATTACAAAATACACACTCGAAAAGCGCCCGACATCCACCAGAGAACTGACATCCCTCGGCTAACTGGGGGGGGGGGGATTAAACTAAAGAAAGTGGGGACAGAAATAAGAGGCCAATTAGCATACATTGCCGAACTACGTTAACTTGTTGGAAGAAACTATGGTTAAAACAAACTAACTTATTTTGAGCGGGGTTTACCAATGTTCAACACAGTTCCCAATATCCTGGTACCTAATCAGGATCAAAATGCCACTCCAAATTAGCTCCTTTTACTAGACACAGACGCGCAAAACACACACACCTTTTGCCAAATTCTGATGGAAGCGGTCGTCGCGTTCCCGTCCTAATCTTGGCTTTAAGCTTATTCTTAAAGTAAAAAAATCAGTTAGAGATAAACTTCTTGTCCTCATAAAATTCCTTCTGTCGCGTCGTTCATACCACGACTCTCATAACGCCTAGCAAGCAAAAGAACATATAGTCCTCAGCCTTAGTCATCGACGGCACCACATTCCTACAAACAGAATTGGCCTCGAGGGCAAAGAACTTTCTGCGCATCACGCAAACTATGAGGTCTTCAGTAAACTTGCACAACGTGACTACGACCCTGCAGTGGAATAAGGTATGACCCAGGTTCTCCACCAAAGCGAACACAGTTTGGAGATTTTTCCAAGCCCACTGACCAAAGTCGTTTTCCGACCCAGAGGGCCTTTCGTAGCACCAGCAAGGTGAGTGATGACGCATTGTTAGTGAGACATTTCAACCCGGGTGCCCAAGGCTATATGGAGCGAGCCTCATGCTTCGTAAGACCGAGCTCGTCTATCAGACGATCTTGAACCGAACTAACACGTGATATAATGCCTTACGGGACAACGCCTGGACGCCGTAAGAGGTGCTTGAGAGCAATCCGACATTCCCGTTAGGAGCACTCACCTTGGGATAATCGGGGGAGGGGCCTTCTCTCACGAGTGTACACTTCTCGGGGATAGGAAAGTTCTTACGGGCATCTTTCTTCCAGAATTCGCCCTCACCATCCGCTTGCTAACACATTCGATCTAGAAACGTAATTCGTAGCGTATATTGAAAGGAAAGTTCATCAGAAAAATTACGATGAAGGTATTTATAGAAAAGGCAGAGGGAAGCTACATTACAGCAGCGGGAAAATGACTGAAACCAAGATGCCAGGTCGTGACCAATGATATTGCAAATTCTTTTTGAGATTTTATCAAGAATCTCTAAATGTATAACAGGAGCACCAGACCATATTTGACAACAATATTCAAAACAAAGTCGAATGGTAGACTTATAAATATTTAGGATAGATTCGGACGAGAAAAAACATTTCGCACGACACTGTAAACCAACTTTCCTAACAGCAGACCTATCAATGTATTCAATATAATTTTTGATAAAAATGTTAACTTCTATCAGTGTGATATCGAGATAGACATTAAATATCGTAATATTATACAACAGTATTTCTTCTGTGTGACGTTTCTCTTCTGAATGTGGACGATTATAACTCTCCACAAACTCCCTTCTCTTATAGCTCTTAACAACGTTTATACCTTTGCCATCCCTCCCGCAACCATATTCTGCCATCCATTAGGTAGGTGGCTCGCTGCCTTCTCTTGTCCCTCTGTCTTCGATATATCCTGTGAGTATCAAATTCTCCGAGCCTTCCTCCCTCTTGTTAAAGAAATTTTAGATGTCTCTTTATAATTCCGAGTATGAATTTCCTTTTAACTTTAATTTTCTTAAAGAATTCTTCGTTGCGTACGCGCTCTGTCCATGGTATTCTCAGCATCCTTCTGTAGAACCACATATCTATTGCTTTCAGTCTTCTCTTCATCAGAGAGGAAATTCTCAAGCATTCACTTCCAGAAAGGAGGATAGATATTACATAGCAGTTCAGCACTCCTTTTTTATTTCTTTTTTTATGGCTTCAAGTCTTTTCATCTGTGAGGAGATTGTCTAGCATCCATTGCTATATAGGAAGATTGATATTACATATTCAGCATTCTTTTCTTTGTTTCTAATGAAAATTTTCCGTTTCTTAGTAACTTGCTTAGCTTTTGGAAGACATTTTTGCTTAGGTACCTCCACGAAATCGCTAAAAAAAGAGCATAGCTTGATGAAAAAGACGCCAACCTTGCCGAAAACAAAATTTTATTGTCTAAATGCTTATGTTATTATTAAGAGGAAAGACCAAAGTTTTTTTTAATTATTTTTAAAAAATTTTCCTTCTTTTTAGAACATTCTAAATTTTGATTAAAAAAACCTTTTTTCTATTTGTATCAGCGGAACTAGTAAATAACAGACAATTTTTAGGACGTTTTTTTGGTATGACACACATTAATTTGAAAAATCGTGCAAAAATAGAAATAATTATCGGATGTTAAATGAAACTTTCAGGAACTATTCACAGATGATCGAAATTATTATAAATATGTTTTTTTTATGAAAGTCATGGTAGAAATATTTTTTCAAAATATTTATTACCCCCCATAACTAATTTTATGAAAACGCTAGAAATTCGATCGCATCGGTTTTAGTGATTACAATAATTAAAAGCACAGGGCTTTGAGGAATGCAAATCATGTTTTTTTTTTTTTTTTTTTTTTTTTAATTGGATACGCAGTACCTGAAAATCAGCTCTGAATTGTAACATACAAAAGTCAATAAAACAAAGATATTATTTAATTTCAAATGCTTTTATTTGCTTTTAGTTGTTTTTATGAATATGGACAATATTTTCTGAAAGCAAAAAAATTTTTTCGATGAAAAATGAATTTTTAATACAATTATTTGTTATTTCATTAATTATAATAGATTTTACATTTAAGTTGTTAAAATATTATAAAATTAGTTAAAAGCCGCATCGGCTTTCATAAGTGTCCTTATGAGATAGATCTTTTTTAGCGCGTTGTAAATTGTATCATTTTGACTAATCAGAAGATCCTCAGTAATTAAGAAATGTAATTTTGTGCTTATAATCGAGCTGTAATTATAAAATACGGAAGACCAACCAGAATATAATTAAGTTGCGTTAATTGAGTTAAGCATTGTTCTCCGCTGTTAAGGCCTTTACTTTTATGAAACACGTGTGGAGAAGTTAATTTGATTTTTTCAATTTCAACTGAGAAGGGTACCTACAAGTATCAGTATCATCTTATGAAATTTATATGATCTTATTTTTATATTAATCTCAGTTACGACATTTTTCCATAAATGAAATATCAAAATTAATAATAAAATGAATGCAAATACAAATAACAGTAGAATGTAATAAATGTACATAAAATTATAGTATTTTATGTACAATTCTGATAAAATTTCATAAGCAAGGTACCTATAAATTAATTAGATACCTTTCTTAAGAAATATGAAATTTAATGTCACTCTTAACAGTTTTATTTTAATTTCTTTACAATATATTTCCCCAAAAGCATCATAAACGTAAAAGGTGAAAGCTAAGTACAAAAAAAAAAATTAGACCGCTGAAAGTTTTCGTTAAAAATAACGGGGTAAATAATTTGTTCACGTAAATGTAAATTTTCACTTTTCTCCTTCCGTAGAACAAATTAGCCTCATGGAATTCGTAAATATATCATTCATCACATGTCAAGAGACGTGAAAGTTTATGACCTGCTTTGTTTTATTTTCAAATTACATCTTTTTGGCACAAAAGCTAAGTTTGGTTCAAAATATTTTAAATAAACATTATAATTTCTGATTTTCTTAAAATAAGTTTTGAAAAAATGATAATTGATATTTAAAAAATTTCAAAGTCAGATTTCCAGTTTTTTTAAAATGGAAAAAAAAATGGTCAATTTGCTGACTCAAAAAAAAACTAGATTTTTAACGAAAATTTCGGACGTGCTAGGAATGATTAAAAATGGAAAAAAAATACCCCAAAAAATACTTTGACCTTTCCTCTTAATAATAACAAACATTTAGACGATAAAATTTTGTTTTCGTCAAGTTTGGCGTCTTTTTCATCATGCTATGCTCTTTTTTTAGCGATCTCGTGGAGGTACCTATTTTTGCTATTACAATGCGCGTTTTGATTTCGGTCACATTTTCCATCCTCTGTCAAAACACTTCCCAGATATTTAAGATTCTTTTCAATTTGTAGTTCACATATCGTAATATTTCATATGTATATATATATATATATATTTATTTTCTATATTGGAATAGCTTAATATTGTTGCTGCTTAGTTGCTTCCGGTCGTTATTGCAGTAACATATTTAGCTGCACATTGATTCATATCATTATTTCGCGTTTACTCATCGTCCTGTTTCCATTGAGTGCGTCGCTGGTGAACAAGTGATAGAAAGTCTTTACAGATCCCCAGCATTTTTCGCTTGTTGACTGCAGCAATGCCATTGTGTTGTAAGTTTCAATCCTTCTTTGAATCTAGCTTGAGTGTTTGGATGATTCCCAGCGCACCCAATTATCATAGATATAACCTTGATCTTCATATTCTATAACTTACGATAAGGTCTGGGATTTTTTTTCTCTAGTCTTCACATTGTTGTTTAGCAAAATATTTCCAATCTAGCAAACATTCATTTGTTCACCTCAACTAGATCCGTTCATCTTGTTTATTTTTTTATTTTTTTTTTTTTTTTTTTTTTTTTAACAATTTTTACCCAATACAAGGCTCAGAAGCTACTCAAGATGGAGGGTTACTGTGTGGCGTTGTATTAAGGACAGGAAAGGGGTCATAAATGAAGTTCTTTGGAGCTATGCAGGAAAGATAACGGCTTGCTCTCAACTTGAAGTGGGCAAGATTTAATTAATGAATAACATTTCCGAGTTCAGTCGAAGATGTTAGAAGTATAGTGTGAAAGTAGACTCTAGAAGGAACCGGAAACCCAATCCTAAACAAGGGATAAGCCTCTGCTCTTGTTCAAAATACTGGGGAGAAGTCTGAACTGGACAATAGGCGAAACTATCTATAGGGAAAGAAAAGAAAATTAGTGGAAAAAAAATTCCGAGTTCAGGCGGAGATGTTAGGAGTATAGAGTTGAAACCGGAAACCCAATCCTAAACCGGAAACAAGGGATAAACTTCTACTCCTGTTCAAAAGACCTGAATGACGTGTTCTATCTGAATCTTAAAATTCTAAAGTATTTCACTTTTTTTTCTTCGGATACCTTCTGCTTTTTGCTAATATTTGGTATTTACTTAGTTTAACCCTAACCGACTCTATTCAATCTGTCCCAAATATTATGGTACTTGTTTATTAGATTCTCTTCAATCTTTCTACATTCACTAATAATGTTTTATACACTCGTTTCTATGCCGACAAAGACAGAATTTGCGAATTTTCTGTTTTGCATGTTTCCTTTGTAATAATCAGTACAGGTGCATTTATTCTGAGTTGCAATGATAAGTGATAGGTCCTCTCACCTGTTATAGTTTTGTAATTACATTTCAGATTATTATCTATTCCATACGTGTTTTCATTGATCATTGGTATAAATCGGCTTTCAGAAAACCTTCTCAAATCTCTAACATTCTTTTCAGTGTTTTTATTCTATATCGCCGTCTCTGGATTTCAAAGTCGGTCAACATTTTTTGCAAAACGCTTCAGGTTCGGTAATTTCCGTACTCCATTGATTGTAGACACGACGATCACTTTCCTATCTCACGATTTTCTTTACTCTTGAGCAAGGTCTTGATATTTATACAGTTTAACTTTCTCTTTCAGCTTCATTATCTGTTACTTTCGGACTGCTACATTTCATATGATCATTCTTATTCGGTTGATAATTCCTACAGGATATCAAACAATGCTAAGTCTTCTCAGAATTCCATCTGTTTTCTTTATGCCCTAGCCATATTTGGTAGTACTGTCTTGTTTAATTTTGTTTTAATTTTATCACAATATCATTTTTTGTCTATTTATGAGATGAGGTATTGTAACCATTTATACTATTTACATTGTTCGGACTATTGTCCTCATCTTTATTGTCATATTCACGACGTTTCAGCTGTTGTACGCTCCGGCCTTCTTCAGATGATATACGTTGGAATTTTGAACCCTTTATTTCGTCCAGCGGGGTAGATTGTTAGTCACACGTGCCATGCCTTTTCTGGACACCTCAATTTCAGTTAATTCCCTTTAGTAACTCAACTCTCAAAGTTTTTGTTCACCACTGCTGTTGCCAGATATTGAACTCGCAACTCTTTGGGTCAACCAACGCTGCGATGAGCAAAAAATCTTTTTTTTCTTTTTTTTTTTTCTTCTTTTTTTTAAAATTACCTTTTACAATTTACTTGAGGGACATTTCAGAACTGTTCAAAGTAATCTAATTGTGTGTGTGTGTTTATAAGCATTGTAGTTGGAGGCGCTATTGCTTTGACGAGGTTGCTGTCTTTCAAAATAAATGAATTCAATTCTTGGAGTAATTTTATACAGATTTTTTTATGAAGAGCAATATAGGTTACAAACGAAAGAAAAATTATACTTATTTTTTTTATAGAAAATTATACAGATAGCTTCAAAAAAGGAAATGAAATCATTAATATGCTTAGCTGTTGTGATATATAGTGTGGAATCCACTCCCAAGAGGATGTTTCGCCGATCACTGCAATATTAACCTGTTCAAGGGTAGGGTTAACCGTTCTCTTTCCTATCTGTGTAAACTGCCTCTTCATGTAACCCTCTACCGTAAATGGCTTCTGGGCCTTGAACAGGGTGACCCTTACTATAAATAAATAAATACACACACACACACACACATATATATATATATATATATATATATATATATATATATATATATATCGTGTGTTTGATGCACAACGGGATCGTGTAAAATTAAGTAGTCGGTTTGCTCAAGGAAAGAAGTCTCTTCCGACGGGGACGACTGGGCACGTCTTCCACTTGTCGTATTCTGTGAGCGAAGAACGAGGCACGTTTATGTCCCTTCCTTTTTATGACTCTAAACGAAGTCTATTGGCAGAGAAAGTGGAGTAATCATACCTTGACACTAATTGTCTGCATCCCCGAATTTTAGCCCTCTATTGCTCTTGAATGGAAGTGTCATGGCATTTTTACTAATATTTTGCAGTTATTGCTGCTATATCAAAGACATTTGGAGCACTTCGCAAAATAAATTCGAAGGAAGGAGATTTATGAATTAATGTAGAGTTTATCGATTTTTTTTTCCTTTAGCGACACAAAATTTAAATATAAAGTTTTTACGACACATTACTTAAGTTTTCTTAATTAAGATAAATACCTAATTAAAAATGTATATACAAAATAATTCAACAAAATTTAGTTAATCATTAAAGAACGGTTAATTAATTGCCTTAAAATATCGCGATATCGTAATCGGCAAAAATCGCAATTAATGGCTACATATTGCTAGCACTCGTTATTTCGTGAAGTAGATTGCATTTGAAATAAAGGTTTGTGTTTAGCGCCTACCTGCTGACTGACCCTGTCAGATTGAGCTTTCGGGCGAGTGAATATTTTTTCCTTCTTCCACTGCTGGATCGAAACAAGTACTCAAAATGATCGACCCTTTCTTGCACGTTGATGTCATCATAATCCAGCACAACCACCTTCAATTTGACGTTGCCCTCAGGAACAAAGAGAAAAACGGTGTTGAACAGACATTTATAAATAATCACAAGTAATTTACAAGCAATCGTATCAACTCTAGTCATAACTGTTTAGTGATTGAAATATCAAACTGGGCATATAAAAAAAATTAAAACCATTGTAATAATTAAAACCTTGAGATATCTATGAATTGACAAAATCAAGCCAATAATATATGTATAACACTATTCTCTCAGGAACGCTGACTTCTGATACCGCAAACGATTTCCTGATTTACAATGAACTTGAAAATTGAATGCCAAATCTGCTAAAATATTTTATGTGAAAACCAGCAGACAAAACTCATATTAAGCTCTGTGTCTTATTTAATTTTCACTGCTAAAAATATTTTGGGGTCGAGTCCTAAGCACTTCCCTTTTCTTTAAAAATTAAACTAAAATTACATTTTATCCAATTATATATTAATCGTTATGTGCCACCTTCTTGCCACTTATCAGGCAGCTTTTCGATGCCTTTTGAGTAAAATGGTACAGTTTTTCACGTGAAAATGTTTTCGTCGACCTCTTTAATTTGGTTGCTTTTTGGCACTCTGGCTTCAGGGAGTTAATCAGAAAAAAAAGGAAGGGGAAGAAAAGTAAAGAAAAAAGGAGAAAAAGTTTTCAGAAATTATGAAAGGATTAAGTTGCATTCTTTTCAGGGGTCAGTGTACTAAAAAAGGAAATAATTAAATTAAAAGTAAAATTGTTGGAGAAACAATTTTTAATATTTTCGAAATTGGTTGGCGGGGTGGGAGGGCATCTAGATTTTCTCCGGTTAACTTTGAGCGACCGTAAGCAAATGCTGCGTGCTCTTGCTGACTGAGAAACGGATAAACAGTTATTTTCTTTTATTATTATTATTACTAAAGATATTGTGAATATTTTTCTTTTTTTCCCACCCATAGATGAACAAAACAATTCTTGAGATTGGCTGGCAGTGGCCATCTGGATTGGCTCCGCTGTGGAACCGACTCCCAAGAGTATGTTTCCCCGATCACTACAATAACCTGTTCAAGATCTGGTTAACCGTTATCTTCCACTCCTCTACACATAAATGGCCCCCAAACATACCCCTCTACGTCGTGTGCCCCCAGGATCTTGTAAAGGGTGAACCTCGCTGTAAAAAAAAAAAAATAATAATAATAATAATAATTCTACTGGAATCCACATCGTTTGCAGAGAACTCCTGACCAAGACCATATGCCAATCCTGAAGACCAGAACTTAAAAAATTAAATTACTACTATCGCAGATTGTAAGCTCCAAAAGGGGATCCCAGTATCATTTGATTATAACATTAGGGGGGAGGTTAAAACTGCTGTATACAACAAATCATATGTAAACCAAAAGTGTTGTTATATTTTTAACCAGTTAATTCTTTATTTCAAAAAATTCTTCTTTTTTTTATGTAATTCCTTGCCGTCGACCTGTTCTTCATTTCAATTCACTTCATCAGCGATCTTCTCACACTCTGAGATCAAAACACAACGTGGCAGAGTCGTGAAGAAGACAAACGCCAGGTAGATCGAGTGGAACTATGCTCATTATCACGATACTAGCGACAAATCAGAAACGCGTTAACGAGCGAGGTGTCACCTAGATGGTAACTACGGTGGACTGAAGGAACTTGAAGACAAACGTGGTAGTAAGAGGGTTACAGGTTGGTTGATTTTGTTTAGCGGCATATCAACCTTTATTGGTTATGTAATGCCAAAATCTAAATATTTTGAAGGCAATGCCATCAACTGCAGACAAAATATATTGTTGGTAACTTTACTATAAATAGATATTTTTGGTAATTTCACTACAAATATGTATTGTTGGTAATTCTTTTAATATAAAAATGTATTGCTAATATTTATTTTTTTGAAAATGTATTTTTATAGTGATTTTTTTTCTGGTTTCAATATATGCCTATAGCTGGGGCCCTATCAGGTTTCAATATATGCCTATAGCTGGGGCCCTATCAGGTGCTGATCTGGGAACAGCAGCAATTAAGAGGTAGTTCTATCCTCTTCGAAACTTCCAATCTTTCAATTAGAGGGCTTTGCTGCCGGGTGTAGTTTATCGTCATACCCAGGACTATCTTTAATTTGGATTTCATTAGAGAAAGTTCACTCCATTTAAAGCGTTTTGTAGCGATCGAAAAATCGGTTGGTGCAACGTCAGGTGAATATGGGACTCGGATAGAAGAGACTAAGTCGCAAATGCTTTCCTGTGCTATTCTTTCTGCATGTGGCCTGGTGTTGTCATGGAGAATAACATTTTTCTTATTGACGAACTCATGACTCTTTTCGACCAAACTCTTATACACGCGTCGAATTTGCTGGACGTATAATTGTGCATTTACTGCCCCATTGCGTTTTAAGAACACTAAATGAATAATCATACGGCAATCCCACTACAAATACAATATAACTTTTTTTTCATTGTGGCTCAAATTTTGGGGTCGGTTTTGGAAATTTATCCTTGTCAACCCACGGCATTTTACGTTGAACATTATTAGTGTACTCTAAGTCTATTCATAACTTCCATATATGATTAATAGTTAGGACGATACGTTTTTTATCCCAACTGGTTCCCAAAAAAGAAATTTACTTATGACTCAATGTAACAGTTTGTTAATGTAGAAAGACAATAAAAACCACAAGGAGTTTTTTTTTTGGGGGGGGGTGATTTATTTTTCTTACGGCTTATCAATCTTTTGCAGGTTATTTAAAGCCAAAAATATTTTTGTGTTGAAGAATTTTTTAAATAATAATGATCTATTGATGAGTCCTACTATTTAACCCATATTTGGTGGATGCGTGGTGGATTGATACTTTTCCCAAGGGTATTTGCGCGTAAGTGAATATAACGAACCCAACTGGAATTAGAACTCGGCTCTCCAATTTCCACTTGCAAGCCTTTATCCATTACACCATCCGTACACCCAAACTTACAGAGCCGGGTATTATAAAGTGGTTAACCATCTCGGTACTGACCAGCTCGACGTTGCTTAACTTCTGTTATCGGACGAAAATCGGTGTTTCAACGTGAAATGACCGTAAGCCAGGAATCACAAGGAAACTTATAATCAGAAATAAATAGTTGAAATTTCTGAGATACACGAGGAAAGACAGTGTAGAGAATTTAACGCTCATAGGGTATATTGAAGGGAAGGATGTAGGAAAAACGAATAGCCTACTTAATGAGTTTGTGTCAATGAATGGTAAACGGAAAAAAATTACTTAGAACAAAAAGACAGGAATTTTTGGAGAGTCATCATCGCCCACGTCTTGAAGGAACCTGGTACATGAAAGATGTTTGAAAATGAAATAAATTAGGCCAACAGAAAGCGAAATATTGTGCCACCCACGTACGAGCGAGTGCGGAAGGGATTTAAAAAAAAATATCTTGTCATTCAATTGGATTTTGGGAAATGAATCGGTCCGTGGACGATTCTGCACCCGACTCATATTATGTTCAGGTGAAGTGTGCATTAACCATATCAGCCGAGCGCCACGATTTATGATATCAGCCGAGCGCCACGATTTATGACATTATATATCAATAGACTTAATAAACGTTTTGACATTTCTTATATCCAAATCTTCAATATCTGACCGAAGAAATTTAATAACACATCATATAAGACGCGTGTACGTATACACACACAGAATATGGTAATGAGAAGTAATGTCGGATTTAAATCCATTAATTCCTTAAGAATTACCTTAGGTTTAGGATACGAAAATAAAATTAGCAGGTATGGGCTTCCAAAGATGAGCTTTCTTTCATCAGGGTAATTGAGCTTTGCTTCGTTGTGAAGTCCTTTGAGGCTGAGTGATCTACAAGCACGCCAGTCTATATGGTAGTTTCCCCTATATAAGAGGAACAAAGTTTCGAACACTACCGAAGGCCACAATTTGTATATTAAAGTCTCTTGAAAAATCCAGTCCGTTAGACGTAAATTATTCTGGCTAATTAAAAAAAAAAATCTACTCAAACATGCGTATCCACTAAATATAAAATCTATGGTAATACAGGGTGGGATGGACAAATGTCGTCTAACATTGACATCTTATTTTAGTAGATATATTTACCAAAATTACACAAAAATATATCGAAATACTAAAGAGTAAATTTATTCTATAAAATCACCATTGGTCTCGACCACGCCCTCCAGACGACATCTGAATCTCCTGCAACTCTTCTGAACGGTCTCCTTGTTTAAGTTGGTGAATGCTGTCATAATCCTTGCCCTCAGTTCCTCTTTAGTGTTGCAAGGACTTTTGTTGGTTTTCGCTCAACTACGCACCACACATAATAATCAAGTAGAGTTACAATCTGGGGAGTTAGGTGGCCAGATGTAATAGGTGATGTGGGTGCAGAAATTATCTGACGGCCATGACTGGGTTCCCTTGCTTGTCTGGCATGATGCAGAGTCCTGTTGCCAGACATAGGATCTCCCAGCAGCCACCCTTTTGACCCAGGGCAGCACTATCTCCTCAGGACACTAGATGTAGGCCCCTGTGTTGAGTTTGAGTCCCTGTGAGAAGATGAATGGAGGGATAACGTCTCTAACACTAGTGATCACTCCAAATACTATGATGTTAGTTGGATATATCGTCCAAGTCGTTCCGAATCCTCTACACGTGTTGTAGCTTCCGGCGCGAATGCCAAGTAGTACAGCATGCCATTTCCAAACTTCTGGCGGAGTGAATTGCATCATGGTGCTCTTTTTCTCACAGACGGTGCCCAACGATACTGTGCAGTCGACAAAATCAAACACAAACAACGCACATGCGTTTTTTTATATATATATATATATATATATATATATATATATATATATATATATATATATATATATATATGGTTTTCAAACATTCTTACACTTTTCCGTTTGGTGGGAGTAAGGGAGGGCAAAAATTGTTCATTCTTTCAACAGCTTTCGGCCACGTCTTTAGCCATTTTCAGGAGGCGTTGTTTTCAAGTGCTATTAATTTCTTTTCATGTTATATATATGAAGACCTGATATTATTTTAGGTGTAAATGTGCACATAATCAACAAGAATAGAAAATATCAACAACTTACTGGCCAAGTTTTGAATTTAAAATGCAATGGATTTTTCACGCCGTCGCCCAGTGAATCATTGAAAGTTATCACATTGGATTTGATTCTTCCGCTTTCAAGCCGACCGATTCCACACGATCTAAAACTGCTTGATCTAAAAAAAGAAAAGAAAATAGGCATTGCGTAATAGACAAACGATATTTGAGTTCGAATTCCGGTAAAAACTTCTTATTTTATGATTAGGGGCCCCTGGGCAGTGCTTTGTGACTCTCGCTATCTTAACATTTGTTTCTTTCTACATACATTTATATGCGTTACAAATTAAACTAAGCACAACTGATGATTTAAGGATGGAAAAAAATCGCGAATTTTGACGTTATTCTACGCGTCTTTTTCCGTCCAATTCCGTGAATTCGTTTTGCTCATGCTAAGTCTCGAGAAACACTATAAAATGTTGAGTGCGATAAAATTCAATTTTTTTTTTTACAAGAAAAATTTCTGGTTGATGTTAAGAATTTCCGCAAAATACTGTTGATTTATTTCAAGGTAGAATGATCTATTATGACATGTCTGTCGGAGTTAGCTCCTCCTTAATTCCCGAATTCTCACTAGGGGTTATTCTCCCTATACTATAAATATTGGCCGACCGCTCGCCTAGTTCTCTTTTTCCTTCAGGCCTCGTGTCGCATTCCACCTCGCGTGGAGGTGAGGTAAATTCTTTCATTTCTTCATTTCAGCGACTACAATGTAAGCTCTCTTAGGAAATACCGTTTCCCATTTGTGGGAAGACGCCATGAACGTTATACACACATACACGTACGTACGAACATTCACCAAAATACAAACACCAATGTTACACACACACACAAATGCTATTGTCCATTGTAAAATTATTTTGTTATATATATATATAAAATCTCGATCTTGTTTGTCTTTCATCTTCGGTTGGACACAAATCGAGTTCGCCATTTTTCTTGTACCTGGACCTTCTTCTATCAGGAAATGTAAACGCACGTGTTTTCTTTTCATCTTCACCCCCCAGTCCTCTACATGTCTCTAATTTGTATACATTGCATTTATTTTCAATTTTTCTGGATGAATTGTTCATCGATATTGCATATGATCCATTATTGTGCATAATTAGGTTATTTGTATTTTATGAATACTACCTTATGAAAATTAGGGTGTAGTAGAGTGGGGAACCCCGTATCATAGGTGCGTGGGGACACGATGCCCTTGCACCGGCTACATATATATATATATATATATAGCCTTGGGTGGCAACTGGTCTAGGAGAATGGTCTTTGAATTCAAAACCTGCGGAGGATCGTTTGGGGTAATACAGAGACTTGGTGCACGCCCTTCAAAAAGTGTGCTTGGTTCTGCACAAAGCCTTCACCACTATAATCAAATAATATGGGCTGTCGGTTCTTAGGAACTGAGCTGCTTGACCCTCATACGTCGAATACGATGGGAGAGTCCACTTTATATATATATATATACACACACACACGAGGTTGTGTTGAAACGTTCTCGGTCACACTCACTTCGCAAAATCTAATTAAATAGCCAAACATCAGTTGTTTTTTTTTATCATTTCTTGTTCGGGACGAGAACTTTTTAGCGCTCGGTCGTATATTTGCCTTTACTTAATGATGAATTTGAAATATTTAAACTCTTCTACATCATGTGAAAAAAACAAGTATGAATACGAAATTAATTTAGCGTAATAAAACCAAAGTAAAAAAAAAAAAAAAAAGCTGCGTAAATTTTTAAAAACCTCCACGCAAATTTTCAAAACACAACTCAACCAACACTTGTGAGGTACAAATGTTATTGCTATTATTCGTAATTATTTATATATTGCAAATTGTGCAACTACACGAAGCAATTAGTCGCATATTAGTCCCAGAAATAGTAGTTGTAATGATACCTATATTATAAGGATTCGATTTTGTGAGTGTGTTATCATAAAAAAGGACAGCACATTAATGAGATTGTTGTTAATGTTAACGCAATACTGTTAAAATGCTCGGTCAGATTCCACTTTAATTTCCAAATTAATAACAACATTCGAGCTTACCCCTGTAATAATGATCTGATTTTGTGTTCGCTACAAAATGTCAAAATAAAATCATACCAACATTTGAAAGAAATTAAAAAAAATTTACCAAATAATGAAACCTGTGAAATAATGATACTTTATGTATTTACATAATGATCTGATTTCTGTATGTTTGTTTCTTTAACACAGCAAAAGCATTTCATTGTGGTGAAATATTTTGTTAGCGCAAAAGTGTTAACTTGAACAATAAAGAAAATTCCAAATCAGTTTGGAAATTATTAAGAGGGGGGTTAGCATTTGCATTCACCTGAATTACTCCTATTTTTTGAGGGCGATAACTTCAGGTATATTAAAAAAAAAAGTCAGTATACAATAACAGTTCAAATATTTGCAAGCAATTTCTTATTTTTAAAAAGATATAGGCAAAACTGAAGTGCGCATGCGTTGTAGAAAAATACTTTATTAAACTTGCTTTAAATGTTTATATCCTTTTAATCACATCTGAATAAAGTCTTTTGACATTTGAAGCAAACGAAAGACAGTTTAAGAGAGCGAAAGAGAATAGGTAAGGAAGAAAGAAAGAGAAATGCCACTTGAAAATGGCATATTTTGAAGCTAATTAAAATATTTTCAAGTACATGATTTTTTTATGTTTTTGTTTTCTAGGAAAGCCGTGTTAGGAGGAGGTCGTACTTAAGCCATACTCTCAATTCCCCCACACCAAACTCTGACAGGTTCGAAGCCACCAGTTATCGTTTTGTTTCATTGACATACATATAAAATATTCTGAGACGTGCGTAAACACACGACTCAAGAGAACGAATCTATAAGACTCAGTGGCTGGAGGTGTTAGCGAGTTTTATATCGGAGTATTCCTATGTAGAAAGTAAAAAGCTTATTAATTTCATCCCAGGAACATTTATAATAGTGTAAAAATTAGGTTTCATTGTTTTTGTTTTTTTCCACTTCGTATTTTTCCGTTATAATTATGCAAACGATTGAAGTCGTTATTTTTTTTATTTATCGTTTTTGTTGTTATAACGTTTCTGGCAATGCAACTTCTTCAGGCAGTAAAAAAAGAGAATAAGTTAGAACGCAATAAACCTTATCAAAATTACAGAAAGTTTTCTCTTTCTCGCCCTCTCTCTTTCTCTCTCTCTTCCCACTCTTTCCCACTCTCTCTCCATCTCCCTTTCCTTCTCCATCTCCCTTTCCTTCTCCATCTCCCTTTCCTTCTCCATCTCCCTTTCCTTCTCCATCTCCCTTTCCTTCTCCATCTCCCTTTCCTTCTCCATCTCCCTTTCCTTCTCCATCTCCCTTTCCTTCTCCATCTCCCTTTCCTTCTCCATCTCCCTTTCCTTCTCTTTCTCGTTGTCTCTCTCTCCCAACAGTCTGGATTTACTATTTTTATTATGTCCTATCCGTATTGTGTTGCATTAAAAAAAATTACTCATCTCCCTTGACTAACTTGTGCGCATGTCAATATGTACGAAATAAGTTTTTTGCTTTGCTAAGCCCCCCCCCCCCAATCCTTTTTCGCCATCCATTCACACAAGTTTGTCAGGCAAGTGGCTCGCTGCCTTACCCTATCATTCTTGTTCTCAGTTTACCCCGGGAGGATTAAGTTTTCCAAGCCCTTCATCCCCTTTATGCGTCCAAGGAATTCCAGCTGCCTCTTCCTGATTCTGAGTAGGAGTGTTCTTTCAGTTGCCATTTTCTTTCAGACTTCCTCGTTTCTTACTCGCTCTGTCCATGGAATTTTTATCCTTCTTTAGAACCACATCTCTGCTGCCTCCAGTTTTTTACTCATTCTTGGCCAGATTGTATAACATTTACTGCCGTATAAGAGCAGAGATAACACATAGAAATCCAATACTTTTTTTCTTTGTTTCTAACATTTTTGGAACGCTTCTTTTCGCTAGTCCAATTCGTGTTCGGATCTCGCCGTCGCATTTTCCATTCTCTGTTAAAACGCTTCCCAGGATATTTCAACTTCTACACCAGCTTTATGCTTCTATCTCCAATTCCTAATTCGCCTTTTTTTTTTTTTTTTTCTTTTTTTCTTTTTTTTTCTTTTTCTTTTTTTTTCTTCTTTTTCCTTTTCTTTTTTTTTCTTTTTTTTTTTTTTTTTTTTTTTTTTTTTTTTTTTTTTTTTTTTTTTTTTTTTTTTTTTTTTTTTTTTTTTTTTTTTTTTTTTTTTTTTCTTTTTTTTTTTTTTTTTTTTTTTTTTTTTCCTTTTTCTTTTTTTTTTTTTTCCTTTTTTCTTTTTTCTTTTCCTTTTTCCTTTTTTTTTTTTTCCTTTTCCTTTTTCCTTTTTTCTTTTCCTTTTTCTTTTCCTTTTTCCTTTTTTTTTTCTTTTTTTCTTTTCCTTTTTTCTTTTTCTTTTTTCTTTTTCTTTTCCTTTTTTCTTGTTTATGACCATATTTTGTGTCTTCTTACAGCTGATGGTCGAGTCCTTTTTTCCCGCTTTTTTCTATCACCCTGTCCAGGAGGTTCTGTAGTTTCCTTTCTGAGTCGACTTTCCCCAGAGCTGCTCTATATCTTCTCCAGCCTTTATTTTTTTTTCTCAACTTCTATGGCCGATGCTAAATCACGGGCGCAATGTCGCCCTCGTCAGAGGATCAAATGAAAACACAATTCATTTGTCTTTTTTCATATCTGTTAATGTGTATCTATTTCAGTATCTGAACCAACTATTGCTTACGGCCACATCTTGAATCACCGAGTCCTGTACGATCACCGAAATTTAGCTAATTTGAGCCTGGTCAGTACTCTTTGCTTTGAAATTAATCAAACCAACATCGAGCCTGATCATTATCTTGACAGGTGACCACTTGGGAATAGCATGTGCGATAAGCTTGGATGTGCGGGCGGTGTAATGGATAATAGCTCGGAATTGTTAATCGCAGAGCCGAATTCAAATTTCATTTACGAGTGAATACCCTTGGGAAAGGCATGAATCCACCTCTCTTAAGTCAAACTTGTATCACTAAACCATTATCTCCCCAAAAATCTTACAGTCTAAGAATATTTTCAGGCTATAAAAAAAAAACTTGTAAAAGGTGGTTAAGCCTTAAAATCCAAATCTATCAATCAATCAAAACTATTGCCGCATGAAAATTTTGTAAAAAGATATATATATGTGCGTGTGTGTGCTTCTCTCATATGTCCTTGTTTGTTTCATACCATGCGCAAAATAATGCTATATTGGAATTTTAAGGTACAATTTTTTCCCCACCAGCCATTCCAATAGTTTATTCTTATAGAGTTGTTCAGTCTTTCTATTCATAGTGATCCAGTTTCTCTTTGAATTTTCTCTACGTAACTTTGTTAATGTCATCTCACCTGAAATTCTATTTGTCTCTTTAAATGTCCCCACCACTGTTTTCCTTCCCATTTACTTTGTTTATTCTTTGTGGGGGATTTCTATATTTTGTTATGTTGTCAATTTTGCGGCAGCTTCTGGTTGCCATAATAAGTCCTTTATTTCTCCCCCTTTTGCTATTTCCCACATCTATTAGCACCAAGTGTGACAATGCTGACAATGACTCGTCTTTTTCTTTCCATTTTACACCACCTTTTTAATCTAATAACATCGCCTTAGTCTACAATGTTTTATGAATGATCATCATTTTCCTTGTTCTAGCACCTAAATTTCTCAGTACTTCAGTTCATGAAGGAATCTGAATTATTATTTCTGTTGAGAGATCAGCATTGGGTGATGTTATGATAGGCATATTGTGACACCCAGTCTGATAAGGTAATACCAAGCACATTCATCCAAACAGCAGAGAAACTTTCAGGTGGAGTCCAGTTAGAAATACCCTCGGCTCAGGTAACCAAGTCCACTCGGATGGTCGCCAATAGTTTTTCTCAAACCTAAAAACAACACTCTCGGCAACTGGCCATGATTTACCTGTATTACTTCCGCTCGTGAACAGAGAAGCACTGTCCATCAGCTCCTAGAAGATAGTCACAACTGGTTAAGGACAGTCGACTGACAAGCAAAGCTGTGGTACTAAATTTGATATTTATTGTAGTCCATCTTAATGCATTGAAACAAAGCACGTATGTATTAACACTTGTAATCAATTAAGATCAGAAGCCACGTGAGCCACACCCACTGTGGTATCAGAGCATTTTTCTATCGTACAGATATTTGTTGGTATTTATAGATATGATGCGTTTCCAAAACGTTCGACGAATTTCAAACAGCGTACGCAAGATGCCATAATTTCTTTCTATGGTTAAAATTCCTAAACTTTATTTCATATATATATGAGAGATACTCTGAGACATGTTTCATTGAATAATTTAGACAAGTTTTGTCTACTTAATTTCCATTGCATCCTTTCATTTTCATGGACAAGCTTTTTAGTGTCATTAAAGAAGAGAAAATTACCATGTTGATATATATTCATTTAATCCGAGTACTTTTGACTTTAGCACAATGTCATCATCAGTGTTTATTTCAAGTAAAATATATACAAAAGACCTCTCATAACGAAGTTACCTTCCCTACGTTTTAGACCAAGCTAAATCGTACAGCACATCACCTCAGCGTTTTTCACTTGTAAAAAAATTTTAACTTTCATATTTTTCAGCAATTTTGTCTTTGAAAATGATGAATGCTACAATATTTAATTTTCTCTCTTAAGGGCAGCAAAACCTTGTCCGTGAATATGAAAGGAACCAATTGAAAATAAGTAGAAAAAAAACTTGTCCAAATTATTCAATGAAAACATGCTGTCCAAGTATACGCTATATATATATATATATATATATATATATATATATATATATATATATATATAAAACATAATTTTAAGATAAGCCATGTTTATGGATAAAAGTGATCAGTATCCGGGATAAAGCGTATGTAAATATAAAAGTGGACACTGAGGTCAACACCCAGCTGTCACAGTCTGTTGTATGCAATCTTTGACATATTTACACTTTTTGTGTGTGTGTGTGTAATATATATATATATATATATATATATATATATATATATATATATATATATATATATATAGTAAAAAGGCTTAAACACTAATATTCCATGGTCATAATTTATTCCATTGGAATCGTAAATACGATCCAATTCATCAGACTTAGAAATTCAAAAAGAAAACAGAAAAAAAACCCAACTCCGGAAATAAAAACAGAATTTAGAGAAAGTGTAAGTATGAGGAGGAGGGAGATTAAACCTTAACAGAGAGAATTTTAGGAGAGATGTGTGGAAGGGGTTTAAATAAGAGAAAAGAATGAATGTTGACGGATATATATGTTGTATATTTAGGTAGCAATCCTTCTTTCATGCACATTTCATTGAATAGGACAGACAAGGTGCTTTTATTTAGTTTTTTTTTATACAATTTCTCATGCGATCTAATAATTTTTTCTTTTCGGATGATAAATTATATAAAAACTGTCCGAATGTTCTTTTTATCGGAGCGCTTTCGGCTATAAATTTAGCCATTTTCAAGGATTAAATATTTTAACTGTTAACTGTTATTAAGTGTTGTTTTTTTTGTTTTGTTTTTGTTAATAAAAACAAAAAAAACAACTTTTTTAACTGCCTTTACCTCTCGTTATGTCAATGACTATTTTTTTATATTCCCGTTCACGCTTATTCCCACATCACGTTGAAACATCGATTCTCGTATTATCACTGAAGTCTAGCAACGTTGAGCCTGGTCAGTACCTAGATGGGTGACTGTTTGGAAATATCAGGTACTGTAAAGTTGGATGTGAGGGTGGTGTAATGGAATTGTTCCAATTTCCGTTGAGTTTGTTATATTCTTACTTTCTATGTGCTGTATCTTTTCAGGGCGTAGGCGATCATGTCTCTCCACCTACCTCTATCTCTTTCAGCTCTCAACAAATTATTTCCCTCTGTCATCTCCCCCAGACCACGTTCTGCCATCCACTTGCTTAAGGCCCCTAGGTATGTCATGTGTTTTCCCTTGTCTCTCTTTCCCTCTGTTCGACCCGTGAGTATCAGATTCTCCAGGCCTTCCTTCCTCATTATGTGTCGCAGGAGCTTCAGCTGTGTCTGCTTGATGTTAAGTATAAGCCTCCTCCTTGTATGCATCCTCACACGCTCGTTTCATGATGTCGAGAGTCTTCATCTTTGAGGAAATCATCCAACATTCGCTGCCGTAAAGGACAGATGTCACGTAACAGCTCAGTATTATTTTCTTCGTTACCAAAGAAATCCTCCTGTCTCTCAATACTTGGCCCAGCTTTTGGAATATTTAAGCATAAATACTTCTGGGAAAGGTACGAATCCAACTCTTCTGCACCCATGTATGGTTTAATAAGTAAAACTTGTATGAGTAAATCATAATCATCTTCAAGAAAAGGAGAATCTAAAAAATATATTTT